AGTCAGAGGCTTTCGGAACCTCCCAATCCTGGTCATAGACCAAGACGTAGTCCCTATCTCGCTCAGAGCGACCCTTTTTTCCACCAGTCAGCTAGACTGATCAGAAGGTATTCAACTAGTGATTCCCCACAGGCTTACCCATGTACTTCGGACAAGGACGAATCCCTGACCTTTTCGGGGGCAATGTCCGTGAGTCCTCAACTAGTCTAGTCCCAACTTCACAGCTAACCGAAACCGGTTGCCCCTTGCCTGGGACAGGACCACCCGGGAACGGCCTCTAATAGCCTCACCTACCAAGATACCTCAGGGCTGACGCCACACCGAAAGTGGGCACATGTACAGCCCAGGTAACTCAGAGGTAACCTGGTTGATGTCCCGTCTATACCAGTCTACTTGCACCCTCCTAGCGCATCGTAGGGCCCCCGACGGCTTCAACCAGATCTGCCACGACTAGGCAGGTTCCTGGCGGGGTTAGCCTTCTATGACCGCACTAACTGGGAAGGTGTCCCAGTCTTCCCTCTCCACTGGCACACCGTGGCACCCTACTGTGGAGAGAGGCCCTCTAAGTCACCCCAACCGCACTTCGGGTCTAGTGCACTGGCACCCTATGGATCCAAGACCTGGTGTACTGACACCCTAATGGCCCTTGGAGCCACACGAGGACTCCTTCACTAGGGGGTCTGGTGTAATGGCACCCTACTGACCCACTGAGTAGTCAGACGGTGTGGTCAGGATGGGTAGTCATGAAGGTGGTGTGCTCCACGACTCCTGTCGTCCAGATCTCGATCCGAGACCGCCAACTCGGGGCCTACCTCAGATGTCCAACCTAGGCAGCCAACTCGGGGCCTGCACTAGGCTGCTCTCTATCTCGACCTGGGCCGCCAACTCGGGGCCTGCACCAGGTGTCCAGCCTGGGTCGCCAACTCGGGGCCTACCACAGACTGCTCTCTGTCTGGCACATCCTCACCACACTAGGAAATCTCGAGGGTTAATTCGGCCCACCCAAGATTCCTAGGTGGGGCGAATCCAGGCCGCCAACTCGGGGCCTGCACTGGACCGCCGCTCTGTCAGAATCCTGAAGCATGTTACCAAAATAGTACATGCTTCTGGGCAGCTGCTGCTCCTTAGCTACCCAGCACCCTAGCAATGGGTGCCCCACTCGGCACAATCACACTGCGCAATTCACCCGAAGGTGGCTGCGCGCGCCCGAGTCTCCTCTGTATCCCTTTGGTGTCACATCCCCGGGTCGCATACTCCTCAAGGGTGTGTCGACTCTCTCTGCCTTGCAATCTTCTCGGCTTCCGAACCGCCCCAACCGCTAGAATTCCATCAGCAAATTACGCCAGTAGTCTTAAACACCCCACCTTGGGCCCAGTACTTTACACCACAACTGGTGCCCAATTTCCAGGTGGGCGCCAGTGAGGGTGGCCACCCTCCTGCATCGTCACGTGGCCTCCAGTTCCCCCCACTCGCGCAGCAAGCCTGTGCTTTGTAGACGCTTGTAGATGCGCAGTACATTGCGCACCACCCCAGTACTTTGCCTCCTTCGCCAACTCGTAGTACTTTGCCTTTGAAGCCCCGTACTTTACCAACACAATGCCCATCTAGTACTTTGGGCTTTGCAAGCGGGTGGCGCCCCCCCCGTGCCAAATTTAGCTTCCCTCCAGCCCGGGGGAGGTTCCTGACACGTCCTGTCACACGCACGTGATGCGCCCCGCGACGGTACCGTGTCCCGGTCGCCGGGTGTGCCTCGCCGCAGGTCCGACACGCCGCTGCTGCTGCTCCACCCACCGGCAACGCCTGCGCGAGGAGCCCACGCTCGCCTGCCCTTTGCTCCGGCCGGCGCGTCGATCTCGCGCTCCGATCGGCGCAGCACCACCCAGAATGGCGGCGCCCCGCCTGCTCCCCACACGGCCGGGCCGGGCGCTGCGAATCCGCGCGGCATGACAGCGCCATGCCGCGGCATACCGGTCAGCTGCTCGGCTCCCGCGTTGCTGCACGTTGGGTCCTGCTCCGCACGCTGCGTTCTCGGCCTGCCGCTGCATCCATCTCGCTCTGCGTACTCGGCGCCGCGTCCCCAGCGTTGCGGCCGCTTGATTGCCGCTTCCTCGCTGCATCACCACCGTCCAGCGCCTCGCCGCGGCGTCCTCCATTCTCCATCGGCCTCCGCCGCTCGTTGCGTCCAAGGCTCGCCAACGGCTCCACGCCGTGCTGCGTCTTCGCGCCTCCACTCTCCACACTGCGGCCACGGAAATGCCGCTTCTTTCCGGCTCCATCCACCGCCGATGCATCCATCCAAAACGCCTCCGCCGGCGTTCCCGCGTCCTTGGCCAGCCGGGGCCTCCGATTCCCCGCGCATCCACGGCCAGCCAACTCCTCCATTGCGCGCTGCTTCCTCGGCGCCGCATCCCCAGCCTCACGGCCTAGGGAATGCCATTGAATCCCAGCGCTGCACTCCGCCTTTGCGCCCGCCAATGCGCCCCCCCACGGCGCTTCCGCATCCTTGGCACGCCAGAACCTCCGATTCTCCACTCAATCACGGCCTGCCAAGGCCGCCATCACATGCCGTTTCCTCGGCGCTGCATTCCCTGCCATTCAGCGGCGGGAATGCCGTTGCATTCCGGCGCTGCGCTCCGCCATTGCACCCGCCAATGTGCCCCCACCGGCGCTCCCGCATCCGCGGCATGCGAGGCCTCCCATTCCACTCGCTTCCATGGCTTGCCAAGGGCGCCATCGGGCACCGCATCCTTGGCGCCGCATACCCAACACAGCGGCCGTTGCAGCACCGCTTCAGCGCCGATTCACTGCCGCATGTTCTCCCGCATTGTTCCGTGCCGCTTCCTTCTCCAACGGCGATCCTTCGGCGCTTTTCAACCTCCATCTCCATACCTTCGACTTGCTGGCGTTTCACATGGCTTCGGGTCTTCTTTCGCCTCCGTCGCTGCTTCCATGCAGCTCGATCCGCGCCCGATTCTGGCGCCGTTTCTCGTCGCTACGCCCCTCGGTCGCGGCTTCACCCAATGCCACCTTTCCCGGCGTCATTCGCCGGCGGTCTCCCTCGCGGCTCCGCGCTCCGAAACCACTTGTTGCAGGGCTCTTTTAATGGCCTCCGTTGGTCCCTTTTCTCTCGCGCGCATCCCCACTTCTTCCGCCTGCACCCGATGGACCGATGGCCCCTCCGCCGTGCCCGGCGGGCATAATCGGGGTGCTCGTTTGTTCTTTGCGCGGTGGGCCCTCTTGCGCTCGGGGATCGGGTGGCTCTGCCGTTCGAAGATGGCGGGTAGCTAAGGCAGCTTGCTCCCCGGGCCGCGAGGCCCGTGCGGAGCGCGGCAGTGGGCCAAAACGGGTAACAGAGCGGGGAGCAACGCCTCCCCGCGTACGTACTGGTGGTCGGCCACATTCCGGCCCGGCCACCCATCACACAGACACTACAATGTACATCAGTGTGTCACGGCTGTATCGCCCGGTATACCCCCGTATCGGACCCACTATCGATACACCGCAGCCCAGTCTGCCCCCACGGCTTGTCCCTTAGGGACTTCCCGAGGCTATACACTACTCCATACTTGGGGGATTCAGACAAGTAAAGAGCCTACGAGTATCTAAAGATCATAAGAATCCAAATAATAGGTCCAATCCCACAGATGACTAATCAACCAAGACTAATGGCCATAAATCTCTCGACCCCCATATGTTTCCACAACAACTTGCATGTCGGTCGCGAGTGGAGCACACGTGTGCAGATCTGTTCCATCATGGAAAGTGACGCGTGTCGGTGGGGTTTGTGATGGGAAGCAGCTGATGGCCAGCGTGACATGTACGGGGTCTGGTCCAGGAGTCATGTAACTACGGGGGAGGTGCATCGGTCGGGGCTGGCATGCCCTGATGTGCATGACCGATCGTACTGGCGCCCCACGCTACCGCTACTGCCCTAAATGAGGTGCAGGCGATGGGAATCGCCAAGGGGGGCAGGTGACCGGCACCGTATTGCCACCACAATATACTACTGCAGGTACGGCGGTGAATGCAACACCCCCTTAAGTACTAGAGCACAACCAAGGGGGTGCAGGGAGTACTTCGAACATGCCGCCAGTGCGGTGGGCGAGCGCGGGGCGTACTGCCTACTACCCTAAGTACTGAAGTGAAGCAAATTGTATTCAATTGCAGTGGAAGGCATCCAAGGAAGTTGCGGTGAAGCTTCCCTGGCATCTTTAAGCATCAAGCTCATTTGACTACCATTTTTGCGAGCATGGTGCTTACGGTACAGCCCTACGATCTACCCGCCCAATGGCAGGCTGAACATGTAATTACAATTACATATTCACAAGCGTCACAACCGTGACAAAATGTCCACATTATCCAATTCCCAATGAACACATGTTCAACACCATCCCACAAACACGCACTGTCCTTCAATCCAAACAAGGTATATCACCCATAATCCTAAGAGTGCCTTTTCCGGTCCCAAATTTTGTAGCTCGAGTGATGTCCCAACGATGTCAAAGAAACAACCCAAAACCAAGGAGAGGGCGGGCGGGTAGAAAACAAAGTGCAGCGTGACGGCGCGTCTCCTCCCAAGGCGTCGCCGCCCCCAGTGACGTTCCCCAGTCAAGCAAAAGGGCCGGCCCCAAGGACCTCTCCCGCCTTGGCCACAGAACCAGACTGTTCGCGCCCAAAGTGGGCTACTGCTGAAAGGACACAGTCCCGTCCCATCCCATGGAATTTCACACAGTCCGGGCAGCAATTTTTTCTCCCGCCCATCTTTCGGGCCTCCCGTAAACTAGCTTACTAAACGTAACCTTCCCGACAGGGTGCTGCAAACGGCTGATGGCTGCCACCCGCCCTGGATACGCTTCCCACGATTTGTCGATGATGGTGACTCACCCTCCTCTCCACCACCCACCACACAGCGACTTTACAATCGCCATCCCGCGCGACACCCCAGCCCCCAAGGTGCACACGCCTGCTCAACCGCCAGCGCTGCCAACACTGGCGCCGCCATGGCCAGCCCGTGGGCCAAGCCCGCGGCGAAGGTGACGGACTGGTCCGAGCAAGTCGATGAGGAAGAGGCGGCGAATGGCGGAGGCATCAATCCCCCTGAGCCGGCGCGTCTGGACGAGGAGGCCTTCCCTTCCCTGGGCGACGCCGCCAAGGCGAAGGGGCCGAAGAAGAAGAGGGGCGGGCAGAAGATGAGCCTGGGGGAGTTTGTGGGCGGGGGCGGGGAGGGCGGCCGGCGGCGGATCGGGGCGGGGAAGTCGGACCGGGAGATCGTGATGAGCCTGCCTACGGCACCCAGGGAGCGCGGGCCCGGGGAGGAGGACGGCGGCTGGGGCGGAGGTGTGCGGGGAGGGGGGAGAGGAAGATTTGGGGGGCCGGGAGCGGCTGAGTGTGGGCTTCTGAGCGAATCTGGGCGCGAAATCGTTGCGGTGTGGCGAGCGGGGGTGGGTGCTTGGGGGCGGGGGAAGTTTGTTGCAAAGAGACAGGGAAGCAGGTCGTACAAAGGGCAACCCCCGCCAAGCAAGTGTGCGCGAGACTCTGTTCGGTACTATGAGGAGATGATGCATAGTCTCCGGTGCAAAAAAAGAGGGGCACGGGACGCAAAATCCAAGAAGAGAGGGGGTGGGGTGGGGTGAGATGTCCGCGCTGTTGTGAGCGTGACGGCTGCGCCGTTGTTGTGGCGGCGCTGCGCAGGCTACCGGTCGGGCTACGGGGGCGGGTACCGGTCCGGCGGCTTCGGCGATCGCGACGATCGCGGCGGGCGCGACGACTTGGGCACCAGCCGGGCGGAGGAGTCCGACAACTGGGGCTCCGAGAAGCGCTTCGTGCCATCCGGCAGTGCTGGCGGCTTCAGGGCCGGCGGCTGCTTCGGCGGGCCGGGATTCATCAACTACGACCGGCCGCGCAGCAGCGCGGGGGGCCGGTACGATGACGCACCCCTCCCTCGCGCGTCCGACAGCGACAACTGGTCGCGCGACAACAGATTTGAGCCCGCCGGCGGGCCCCGCGGGAGATCGGGCTTCGGCGGAGGCTTTTACGAGCCCCCGGCGCCGCGCAGGGGCTACGGATTCCGAGATCGGGATGCCGGCCCCCCGGGCGGCGGGTTCGATCGCGAGCGGACGGAAGGGCCGGACTGGAGCCGCTCGAGGTCGTACACGCCGACGACGTCCGCGGGCGGGACGGGCGAGAGCGGCGGGGAGCGGCCGCGGCTGAACCTCAAGGCGCGGAGCAGGGGCCCGGGTTCGGATGCCGGCGGGGATGCGGCGACGCCGGCGAAGAGGAGCAGCATCTTCGGCGAGGCGCGGCTGAGGGAGGACGTGCTGAGGGATAGAGGGGGGAACACGGACGGGCAGTCGTCGAGGTGAGTGGCCGCTCGGCACGCGAGAAGGCGACTCGCAGGGCGTCTCGCGGACCTCGTTTTGGCTGATCCGATCCCTGAGTTCGTTTCGCCCAAGATTGGGGGGCCATCGGATTCGAAACTTGGGGGTGGTGTGGGGGTGGTGGTAAGATTTGTTACAAAGAGAGAAAGAAACAGGTCACACAGAGGGCAACCCCTTCCAAACAAGTGCATGCGAGACTCTCTTCCGGGGTGGGTGTGGGGGGTTGCATACGGAAGACGGGCGCGGGGCTGGCTCGGCGGTGATTGAGTTGGATTGGCGGGCAGGGCGACGCCTACGAGCGAGGGCGACAGCGGGGCCGGAACGCCGGCGAGCCCGAACGGCGGGAGCCCGCGGGAGGAGACGCGGGAGGAGCCCCGGGAGTTCGTCGCCGGGCCGCCCAGGCGGACGGTGGACCCCTTCGGAGGGGCGAGGCCTCGAGAGGACAACCTTGGCCGGAGGTGAGCTGCTGGGCTGGCTGTATCTGGCAGGAGGGGAGGAGAAAGTGTTGGTGTGCTCGATCTGTGTTCAAGAAAACCCAGATGGCAACCCAAGATTGGGACCCCAGATAGGAACCCGAATGGGGAACCCAGGTGAAGCCCAGGACGAGAGCCCAGATAAAAAATGAAGTTGGTTGTTTGACAGCCTTGCCTGCAGGTGGAGCGGGGTGGGTGTGTGGTTGTGGATCGGCCTGCAAGGAGTTGCGCCTGTGGAAAATCGTCTCTCTAGTCTCTCCACCCAAGTCGACTGCATGTTGATGCCAAAGTTGAGCCTGCCTGCAGGTTCCCCAAGAGTGTGTTGGATCTAAGGAGTGTTGCCCCAGGTGGCAGGCAGCCAATTTCTCGGTCGCATATATATACAGTAGTGTCAGTCTTCTGGCTGCTCGCCAAGAGGGGATGTGCTCCAGAATGGGTGCGTTTGTGGGGCACCAGGTGCAACCTTGCTCCAGTGCTGATGGCATGATATGAAAAACGAAACAAAATGTTGCAAATGCGTGTCATTGCAAAGATGTGTCCTGCAGCCTCATAGTCAAACATGCTGCCATATTCCACCAGTTTACCACTCCTCCCCACAATCCAGTATCAAGCAACCCCAAGGTATCCTTGATCAGATTTGCAAAAGTCAGGCGAAGATCTGTGGCTCCCTGCTGCTCGGATTGGCGATGCACAAGATTCATGACAAAGAAGCAGCATTTGAAGTATGTTTCTGCCCCACAGGTTGTTAACAAAGGATGCCGAAGAGGAGCTGTCCAAGGGCATCGAGGCTATGTAAAAGGTTGCCCTAAACTCTAGCAGGTTCAAATTTCATATTGTGTATGCCTTTGTTTTGTGTTGTTTTGGGGCCCTTAAGCTGAAGAGGTGGACATTACAGCAGTCTGTCGGTCAATGGGGAAAGGCGTATGGCTTTGGAGCCCACAGGCCGGCAGCTATTCAACACATCGCAAGCTGTACACCATTGGGCACCTGTGTTCAGCAGAGGCTGCATGTGTTGAATACACTGTGCAAGTCTGGCAAGTCCCTGTTTCTGTTTGTCAAAGATACTGGGATAAGCAAGTGGGCCTCATATTTACTTCGCATCTGTTCTTGCAGCTGAGTTCTTTGCAACACAGTGTCTGCACATTGTTTGTTGAGCTCATTTCATGCTTTTCAGCCACCCTGCGCATGATTTGTGGCGGCAGGACACTATCTATCGCGAATGACTAGGGAAGCAAACAGGCATTTCGCATTCAGGAGGTAGACACCAGGGAGCGCAGTGGGCTGCTCCTGGGTTGCGTTTCGTCAACGGGGCCAGATAAATACACTGGGAAGGGGGATTAGCTCACCAGAGGATGTTGTGGGATGGCTGCGCTGTGACGGATGTGCTCGTTGTTGTTATGTGGTGGGCGAGGGCAGTCCAGTCGTCTTGAAATGGATGTGGCTATTGCTTGGAAGGATTTCGTCCTGTGACTGTCATGTAGCCATCAAGGCCATAAATGTAGAGGCATGGACAGTTGCCTGGGGCCGGGGTGGTGTTGTGTGTCAAGCAACATAGGGTAAGAGCTATCGGATCGTGGCGGCTGATGGAGTGGTCATGCTGGGCAATAAAAGAGTGGGGTACCAGCCTCACTGCGCCTGACGCACAAGACAGCATTATTTGCAGTCAGTGATAAACATTTCTCTTGAGCACATGTGCGAGGCCAGAAACTCTTGAGTAATCCATGTTGGTTCCCCCCATCGGTTCCCAACCATGTTGAGTTGTGTTGTCCACTTGCACTCCCTATTCGCCGCACGAAGACACTGCCCTGGCTGGGGGCACGTTGGCAACAGCCACCCACACACAGTCCTCTTGGGAGCTGCGCAGCATTTGGATTGGGGCGCTGTTGGATGGAAATCGGCACAGGCATGGTGTGCCCACTGGGCCTTCCCCACAGCCATTGGGTCTATGCTGCCACAGCCAGGCAGTCGGGAATTGGCACACCACCAATGCTGACAGTCGAGGTGTGGCCAAGGCGCCGTGGCTGCCTTCATGACGCCTTCATGACGCCTTCATGATGTCCATGATGTGCCCATTAGGTGTGGATCTGGTGCACGGCACAAGATCTGTGGGCACTGCAGTGGGTCACAGTTGTTGACCCTTGTTCGGGTGCAGACCTTGGGCGCTTGCCCAAGTCTGCCCCCGCCAGTGGTGTGGTGTGGTGTGCAGCATGCTCAAGCAGGTCTTGGGGGCAACTTGGCCAACTCTTGTTCCAACTCTGGAAGTGCTGTGAAGAGGTCCTGCTCAAGGCCATAGTCAGCAACCTGCACAAGGCGGCCAGGAAACACAACACAAGCATGCTCAATGCTGAGGACAAATCCCTTGTGGCAGCAGGTTGATGATACTCCAGCTTTTCTTTGTATACATATAGCGGGTAGTTGCCGCACTTTCCCATGCAGCAATTTCAATACCTGCTTTCTGCTCCTGTTGTTTACCGTTGTGCGACTTGTTCAGTTTGCTGCATAGCAAACACAAATTTATGGAGACTTGAACAGCCGAGAGGGGAGTGCTGTGTGTCAAGCAGAGTGTTCATCACCAGAGAAAGTGCGGGCTACCAGCGGGCCAGAACTAGCGGGGTTGATGGCAGTGCCAAGGCAGAACTGTGCAAGACGAGGGCATTGGAGCACAGGGTCGGGGACAAACATGCATGGGAAGTTGCACCAAGTGCCTGTTAGTTGGCGTGGGATGCAGCTGTCTTCTGCACATGGCACAGAGACACCACGTGGCGTCAGCGATGGACATGACGTGTGTACGTTCAATGAACGTGTGTTCATTGGGGGAGACCAGGGGTCGGTGTGGAACGCGCTTGAAAAGCGCACAAAGAACAATTTGGAAACCCTGCGCACCTGAAAGATGGGCGCCGTGGAGTCTGTGTTGATGGCCACCACGACCTTGGCGTCCTTTATGCCCGCCAGGTGCTGGATGGCTCCAGAGATGCCCACCGCTATGTAGAGATCCGGCGCCACCACTTTGCCAGTTTGACCAACCTGCAGTACAGAGCGAGCTGTGGTCAGCACCAGAATCGTTGGGGCGGAACAAGTGAAATACAAGAATCGGTACTCACAAGGCCACTGATGCATTCAAACACTAAGCCCTGATACCAAGTTGAACGATGGAGTTTTGTGTAAATGGATGCTGCAGTCCATGAGGACTCCATCCGCCAACTCCATGCACTACAGTGGGCTACGAAACACTGAAGGCACACCAAGGTTCGTACGCAGCTGTTGTGCGGGTTGGAAACCTGGTGGAGCGCAGGATGCAGCGGAGAGGTTGTGTGAGGGCACAGCCATGGTCCACCTTTGCACACTGCCATGGGCATCTGACCAGGTGTGGAGAGGCACATGCACTCAGAAACAGCATAGATACAGCGGCTGGCGACGCCCCGCACTGACACGACGCAGATCCATTCTGATGCGCACATCAAAGGACGCATGAGCGAAGAGTTGTTTCAAACAGTTGCCACAAGATGGCGCACCTGATAGTCATTGGGCACAAAACCCGAGTCCACGGCCGCCCTGGATGCACCCACGGCGCCGCCGAGCATGTCCGCCAGCCTCTCCAGCATCTTGAAATTTTCGGCGCTTTTCAGAGCCCGGCCGCCCGACACCACCACCTTGGCGGTGCCCAGCTCGGGGCGGTCGCTCGTTGAGCCCTCCTCTGCCTCCCAGGCCACCTTCTCAGACCAGTTGGTTGCCGCGGACAGCTCTGAGCCGCTAACGTCCTCCACAGGCACCTGGGGTGAGTCTCTGGTCGCTGCGGCTGGAAAGGACGTGGGCCGCACCTGATACGCGATCAGTGCACAAGACTTCAGTTCGATTGATCGATGGATAGATGGGTTGCTGGATTTGTGCACTCACTCTACCAGTCAAAGCACAATACACCATTTTGGGGACAAGATAATAATTATGGCCAACGTGCGCAAGAGTGTCCTGCCCAACAAAGATGCTGCTGGAAATCCATACATATTGCATGCGCTGACGTTGCACGTACTGGCCAATGTCGGGGCTGTGGGTATCCGCTGGTGACTATTGCCCAAGCTTTGTCCACCTGGCTCATGAATAAACAGCCCGAAGTGACTGTGCCTGTGCAAGCATTCCATTCTGTTCTGCAGTGGGCAACCCCAATGAGCAAGCCTGTTCATGCTGCGGAACATGATGCTCAAGTGTGTAAATGCAACAGGGAGTGTAACGCACCGTGATGACCTGGGGTCCCTCTGCAGTGTAACGCACAGTTGCTATGGCGTTCCCGGCATAGATGGGCCTGCCAAAGAGCACGTACATCAATTTAAGGAGTTGCATAGATTGCAGACGTATCTTAGGTGCTAGCGATGACACAAAAAGCAGCGACTCGCCCTGACGGCCTGTGTGGATGTCTTGTGCTCAGCCTTGAAACCCCAACAGATGCCTATTACATTAATTGAGGGTGCTGACTGCTCCAATCAACCAGTTTTACCAATTCGAAGTTGGACCTAAAGGAATCAAATGCCACAGTCTCATCCAAACAAGACTCGCCTGGAGTAGGTCGAATCTCCAGCGATTCCTATGATGTCGCTGATTGGCTGCACACCCACAAGAGCGGCGAACCTGGGCAACAGATTCTTGCCAAACGTCGTCGCCGGTGCCAGCACGTGGGAGAAGCTTCGCCTGCACCACGGGTCTGGCGGTCATTCAGAAACCTGCAAGTCGTTGGTTTCTGATTCATATGGGCTCAACAAGCATGTGACCCAGGCAGGGTGGGACTGGCTACAGCATGGTGTTACTAGCGTAGCACGTTGTAAGTTAATGGCAAAGCACCGCCCATGTACCTGAAGGTCGATGGCAAGCAAATAGCTCATGCACAGAGTGTCCATGATCACCACAAAGGCCACCTCCAAACGAACCAGACTTGCATCCACTTGAAGCTCGGCAAACTCAGCAGACCACCTCCGAGTTTCACTACTTACCCTGATGGTCAGGGTTGGGTGCGATTGGCCAGAGGTTAGCAATGGTCATCATACTTTGACTCTCACCTTTTCTGCATTTCTGCAAGGAGATCCGCCATTGGCTCTGCCAGCTGGTGCTTCAAACTCTCATTCTCAGCCACAAGCACCTGATGCACAATTACGCATGGAATGTTTGTTGTAAGAAAATGAAATCATGTCAAGTAACAGACAACTGCTGATTACGGTGGTGCATGTCCCCTGTTTTGGGTCATTTGAGCATTTGCAGCACAGAATAGAAAGAATGACACTTTGTCAACTTGAAGGAGGCCCTATTTCCAACCCATTTGCCAATGGCAAGGCACACAGAGCACACCAACCAAAACATCATCGAACCCTTTACCCTGTTGCCTGCCTGCCAGCCCGTCTCAAGTTACCTTCTGTCCATCATCGTTATTTTCTACGCCCACAGACAATTCAGGTACTGGACATCTATGCTGGCATTGCACCTCCTTTGAGGCCCAAGTTTGGGATTAGGGCTAGCACTCAATGCAGAGATAGCATTCTGCATGGATTTGCAATATTCTGTCAAAAATGCATCACCTCTCCAAGAAGATAAGAATGACAATCCTCCCTGCACCCTATCCCACTGAGAGCAAGAAAGTAAGGTAATCCAGGAAGGTAATGCATCCAAGCTCTCTCCGAACCAATTCTGTTGCGCCAAATGTCCCCAATCCCATGATCAGAAGGGAACAAATTAACAACCACGCATGATAGCAGCGCCATCCACGTTGGGGCACACTCGGCAAAAGCAAGAATCTCTCCACCCCAAACTATCTTTCTGTGAACCCCCCGCCCACCAATCTATCGGAACCTGAACTGCCAGATTTAGACCCCGCAGGCACGCTGACGCCCTCATAAAGGCAAATCTAAGTGAAGAAAGCAAATAGAAAGCACGCGACTCTAACAAAGGAACTGAAAACCAAAAGAGGAACTTTCAACAGCGGATTTCAGCGCTGACGCCCACCTGGCCTACTCCCGCCACGCCCGCCACCGCCCGCGCCACGTCCCGGACCCCCTCCCCCGCCACCAGCGCCGTCAAGTCGCCGCCGAGCTCTGCGGCCGCGGAGACCGCCGGCAGCGTGGCAGGCCCCAGCCGGCCGTCTTTGTGCTCGACCACAACCAACGTGCTGAGCTGGACAACACATAATGCGAACAGGGATGCCAGCGCCGGGGGGTCAGTCGGGATCTAAGGCTCGCGGTGCGGCGCCCCGGGGGGCCTCGGACACGCTGATGCGCGCCCGGCGCTGCGGAAGCCTTTCGGCGGGCGGAGCCACGCGAACCAGCGCTGCCAAACTGCTGCCAAGCGCGCTTGAGGACATGCGGGGAAGGTTTCAACAGCCGGAGCGGCATTGCTCGGCTTTAGCGGCCGTGGAATGTCTCTCGCACGCGCGGCGAGGTGGCATGGACGTCGAATCGACCGGATGGATGGCGGGTGTTTGTTGACAGTGCAGCCCGAGCGCGAGATGAGCGAGAATGGCGATCGTGAACCGGGGAAGGCACCTGTGCGGCGGCCGTCGCCCACAAGCGCCGCTTCGGGACGCATCTCGGCAGGTGGGAGAGCCTCGGCAGCATCTTGGCTGGCGCGAGGCAAAGGGAGAGAACCGGTCTGCGCGGGCGCCTGCGAGCGTCACCCGCTGCCACGGACCTCTGGCTGTCTTTGTGACGCGGCCGCATACGGTTGGCAAATAATCAACTACGGCGAAATACGGTGATATACGGTGCCAGTTATTTTGGCGCGCTCCGCATCATGGTCACAGGGGGAATGGCGGCGCGTTCACTCAGTGCGCATGGCCTCAAATGCTCATTTTCCGCCACAGCGACTCATGAATCTGGGGGCGCTGGGCGCCACAAGCACTCCATAGACCCTTGTGTCGCAGCTGGGGTTGCTCCGCATGTTCTTGGCACCGTTACGTTTTTGTTATTGCTCCGCACGAAACGGCCAAACGTTACACTACAATGCGGAAGGGCATAATGTACTACGGTGCACGTCGATGGCATGCCTGAAAGTGGCGAACGGAGAGGAAATGGTGGAATAAAGTGAATACAGTAAAAAGATGACTGGCACATTCTTGCGTTTCACCGGGTGTTGCAGCGAATCGCCCAAGCCAGAAACGCAACGCTGGCGTGCACATTTGCTGGAGGATTTCAGAGCAGGGCTGGCTGCGCGGATGATGCACGCTGTGGCCTTGAATTCGACAGCAAAGCGCCCTTCACAAGGTCAGCAAACGATCCACGACGTTTTTCTTGCCAATCATGACGGGTGGGCAAAGCGTCACGAGCGACGCATGCACCATCTTCTGAAATCCTGAGGGCGCCTAATTTGGACAAACCATGACATTCCAAGTTGTGCCGCGTTGCATTTGGGCGAGCCGGCCAAACGCAGCGTGGCAGCAAATGAACACGGCATGAAACTATGAGTCGATGCGTCCCGAATCTGCGATCCCCAACGCCGACTGTTACACTTGTCAATGCGCAGGGTAGTTGTCTAGTGTTCTACATTGCCTTGGGTTCACGGAAACGCGTTACGGTTTGTCGGGGTCCTTACGAGTGCAATCAAAGAGGAATTTCAGGCAATGCACATATCAATGGCAATGACAACGGATGCAGTGCATTCATGTGGGCAAGTCCCACGACTCCTTTCAGAACAGTGGGCTGCGAGGAGGCAGTGCGCGGTGGATGAAAACAACAAAAAGCTTTCGAATGGTCCATCTATTTACCTATGAGCACTACTCCGCCATCGCTTGTCTCGGTGCTTCTGCTCGATTTCCTACACCAGGCCATCAGACGCTACCCCTCCCGTTTTATAACGACCCCTCGAAAAGAATTCTTCTCTCACGACGACAAACTGAACCGCGAAACACACGCACGCCGCTCGCAGCCTCACCCCACTCCATCCAGTTCACAGGGCTTGCCCATCGCCATTGCACATGCTGCACAAAGCCGGCCATCACCCCATCCACAATGTTCATTGGAAATACATGGTCGCTTCCCCCCACATTACATCACCCCGCTCAAAGGCTTCCCTGCACTTTGCGCTATGATTGCTCGCCGGTAGCCACAAGCGGCAGCAATTCTCTCGAGGCATCGTCCTTCTTGGAGTTATGTGTGCCGCCGGTCTGTTGCCTCCTCGCCAGACTGCTGATGCTCGACCAGGAGACCTCCATGTCCTTGGTGGTGTGCAGCAAGAACGTTCCACCCACGACAGTCAAAAAGCCGCACACCTCGGAGGTGATTTGCCACCAGCTCTGCGGATTCTGGAGGGAAAGCGGTGGGGCGGCAGTCAGTAAATGGCACAAAACTGAAAGGGAAATGGCGTGCAACAAGGGCAACTAGAGGCCTGCATGTTTTGCAAAACTGGCATTGCGCGCAGAACATAAGGTCTTCCACCAGCCGGCGTGGCTACGTTGTCTCTCCTTTCTTTACGTACAATAGCATATGGCCAAAAGCGGTGCTTATCGCCTGCAAGGTGCAATGGAGGTGCTCGTCCATGCACCCACAAAAGCAGTCAAAGTAATCGCAGCGGCCGCTTACCTGAAACATTATCAATGATGCCAGAATTGTGAAGGACGTGAACATGACATAATACAATGGACTCACGATTGCGGTGTTAAAGAGGTCCAAAGATTTGTTGAGGTAATTCATTTGGGTCACGACGCACGCAGCCACAATCTGCAGCCACAAAATGAATTCGTAAGGTCAGTACGTGAGAGACACGACTCCACCAGTAAATCTAAGATCAGGGTAGATTTCTGCACCTGCTGCTGCTATCCCATTGACAAGAGTGCCCTTGCACACAAAGGCGACGATGCAGTACTTCGATTTCTACAATCAACTTGGTTCTCCTGCAAGAAAAGTTGATAGGAAGCCCAGAAAGATGAAGCGACAGACCAGATACAGTGCGCAGGATGGCTGTAGCAAGGACGTCAACCCGTGCGCCATGGCCAAGGATGAAGGTTGCAATATATGTGCAAAGATGGAAATCATTTCCAAATTCTCCTCTTTCTGCTGCAATCCCGCAGAAGTCGAAACACAAGATGCGACATTGTGCACAAATGGAGTCCATTGTCATATCTTGTACACATCTCCCTGCTTGTTCCAGATCACGCAAATGTTGACAACCCGGCAGAGTCTGGGGGCGTTTGGTGGTTTTGCTGTGTTTGCACACCCTGCTATGGCAGACACGCCAATCGGGAAGCACAGCAAGCCACTGTGCTGAAAGCCCACCAGTAGCATGGGGCAATCATGAACAGTCCGGACAGAGCCGCCGAGTTCATTAAAATGCCAGCGGTGTACTCCTGGATGCTGCGTTCTGTCAAACTGTTCAACATTGGCATCGAATCACACGTCTGTCCAATAGTTTGCAGCAATGTCCAGCATGCTCATTGAACTAACCCAAATTCCGTCTACACGGAGTCCCATCATCAAATGGCACAGCAGGCACAGTGTTGGAAAAATTGGATGCCTCTTGGCAGAATCCAACATGTTGTGTGATGGGTCAGGTCGACCATCACTACAAAGTGCCATGACAGCACACACATTCATGCATCGATATCATTGACATCAATATGATCCTGTGACACTCGATGGCAGCACATCTAATGATATATGAGCACATCAGGGATCTAAATGGAAAGAAAGCACTGCCAATGAAGTGTTCAGGCCACCTTGGCACCTACCATGGCGAACAAGTATGTCTGTGGATACCACAACTGTGTGCTGCCCTCAACAGTCAGCTTTATGGCGATGCCAAGACCCTGAAGCAAAAATGGACAAACGGATATGTTGCTGTCAACAACCTCGCCACAGCACTGGCTGCCGCTTGCTGCCAGTGACGATGACTAAAAACTAAAGGCAGCATCACTGTGCAATCCACCTCCATTCATCCCAGCGGAAGCCATGTGCAGTGTACTGTAACACAAGGTGGCGGTTGCTACGCTAACCACTGTCAAGAATGCATAGAACAAGATGCATGATGAGCCAGCCTTCGGCCATCAAATGATCCGTACATTGGCAGCCCCTGCAGAGAAGTTTGGCACTCATTACGGTCAACATTACATGGCCCTACATACACAGGTTTGGGACCTCAGTCCACCACCACAAGCCAAAATTTGGTCAGTCTGTTGCTACAGTCAACCATCACCACCCATGTATCCACCACACGCATGTACTGCAAAAGCACAATGCTTCAAAGGTAACATGTGATGAAGAAAAGAAAATACACAATGTGCAGAACAGACTTGGCCCATGTTCCATACCGACATGGCAACATCCAAAGGAAGCAGTAGAAGACTAATACACACTTAAGCCAAAGGCTCCATTCTGGAATTTCTAAGATAAATAGCACGAGTTTTGGGCAACCAGCAAGGTGATGTGGGAGAGGACAGATTCAGCTTCACCCTGCTGTCAAGTCTCCAAGGCATCTCAAGACAGATAGTTGTAAAATTTGCAATGTCCAATGTCTTGCCATTTCCAATGTCTTCGATGGCTGGCCCCCGTGGCACACAGCAAAAGCCACAATGCCAGAGCAAGATACTTTCTGCACATCGTTCTTTAGATCGTTCGGCGACATCATGTCTTTTCAAGATCAAAGCTGTCAAGAGTGGAAACCTACACTGCACAAGATAAACGGGCAGTGTACCCAGCATGTGCCCACCTTGCAACTGACCACAGTCAATGAGCCAATTAGGGAGCAGATCGCCAGACATACAAAAATGTTGGTGGCCCCATGCTTGGGAGCAACGACCCATGCAAGGTACACAGAGCCGCCCACAGCTGCCAGTGCATACATCAGGAACCCTGCACGAAATTGGGAGCTTTGTCATACAGCTGCACATGGCAGCGCTTGCAGACTTCCAGAAACAGCCCAAGGGCAATCAGGAAGGCCCACTGACAGAATGGTATTCCATAAACTGACATGGATTTATTGGATGCATGATGCATTCATTGGTCAAACTACAATACCACTTATGTCAGACATGAGACACAGCAGCCCATAAACAAGCAAGGAGTTGTTCTAATTACGATCCAGCAATATCAAGGCTAGAGGAGTTCAGTTTACCGAGACATCCTTGTAACCCTAGCTATACTTGACTAGTATTTTCTCTGTGTACTTTCAGGGTTGGTACATTTAATGCTGCTGTCCACTAAGTCTCACAGCTCCTGTTCTCATCTCCTTCTTTCTCATCATATTTGATTCCTCACTTCCATCTGCTACATTTTTAGGAAACACAGTTCTGACTGTTCTGGATGCAGATGGCCATGCCAGCAGGTGGCACATATGCCACTGCCAGACCACTACTTGTAGTCAGTTTCTTCTCTACAATGTGCTTCCAACAGAATCTTCTAACAAAATGTTAAGAGTGCCAATGAATGGATAAAATCCTGTCCGACAGAGGGAAGAGGACACTGTGTGCCATGGTTCCATTCTGTTTAAAACTCACTTTGCCTTTCCAATACTTCTTTGCTTTGCTGTGCCTACTCTCCTCCCACCTGGTTGCATGGCGTGTTCCCACACCTCCAAAACAGAATGCAGTGGTATCTCTTCAGGGACGTGCAGCACGATGATCGTGGAGCCGGCGATGCATTCCAGGCAGCCAGTCATCCCAAAAATATTCAGCTTCTCGTTGAGCATGATGTGGGCGAAGATGGCGCTGGGAACACTCAACACTCCCTCAGGCAATTCACCTTCTGTACCAGGAGTTGCCAGCACAGGCGGAGAAACTGAAATGCGAGAGTGTTGACACGGCTTGACATCGTTCAATAGGTGAATAGGCAGCGACTTCTCATTCTTCATAATGTAGCAATGATGATATGTGCATCAGCAAAGGAAGCAACACCCAAAGGGGGAAGACAACATGCTATTTGCGGCAGTCATCATACTGAGCAAGATGTTTCAAACGTTTCGCAAGTCGCGAATATGATGTTGGGGACAGTATAGTTGGAAGGTATTGCAATGCCATGTGGCACAAATTGCAACAATCTAACACAGGTGAAGAAATAAACAGTGTCTAACACATGCAAGCACAACAGTCTGCCCAATACTCTGATAAATGCAATCACATCGATCCCTGTCACATTCAATGCCAGCAAGGTCACTGTACTTCAGGCAAGCAGATTGAAGGTTCAGGAATCAGATCAACACAGTCTGAACTGGTCAGACATGATTGTCAAACCCCAAGTCAGCCTTACACGAACCGCTCTGACCCTGTCTTGGACTCTACCTGCCTGTACATTGTGGCTATTCTAGAGTTTGTCAAGCCCAGCACAGACAGGGACAACTACTCTGTTTCTTGTTATTCCAATTCTCAAATCACACTGCAAAGACAAGGGACCTTGTCGTTGGAAACTATTGTATCAACACAGTCTCCTCAGGTGCTGACCAGACCGGCATCCATTGGCACACTGCCTACCTCACAATGATACTCAGGGACCCGAGAGGCGTCACCAACATGGCGGGGGCGAAGGCATATGCTGCGAAATTTGCCAACTCCCCCACAACCATCGTCATCAAACCCAACCACCACACTGGATCCCGCAAGTAAGTGAAGCCCCCTGCCCCTGCAATATCCAGCATTTCTGAGCATCAAAACTGCTGCGACACAACATTTTGTGCATTCTGCCCCAGTGTTCTTGCTCCTGTCAGTTGATACTTCAGACTAACCTGTGCAGCACTTCGTTCTGTTTGATATATTGATAAGGTGAAATCCAATGTCTGTTGTGACTCTTGTGTTCCTCCGTGCACTTTGCATCCAGTGTCATAATTTCAATGCCCAACAATTATGGTACCGGAATGGAGGGCGCAGATTTCCAGAGTGCACTCCCCAGTAGAAGCAACGCCTCAGACAGAGGAAGTCACAAAGAACTGTGCAGAGTGCATCCACGATGCACTGAATTAACACTCAGAGGAACTTGTCACATTTTGCACCACACAGATGCAAACAGAGGCACACACACATTGGAATTGACGGAGCAGGTCCAGCTGCAAGATTTTTTACTTGGCAGTTGTTTTACTTTCATACTGACGAGAGGGCATCAGTAGGGTTTCGAAAAGGCGTTGACTGCTAGCTTGTCATGTGTAGGCATGTGTGCCTGTCCTATCCCCACATTAAAATCAACCACCGGGGACCAAATATTCTGCATCTGCACCCGAATATGCCAAGAGAAAGAAGTCGTCGCTGGTGAGGCCGTCTGCAAGGACGAAGTTCAGCTCAACGTCGTCAGGTTGCTGAAGTCGAAAATCAAAATGTCTGCTGGGCTGGCCATAGCCATTCTGGTGAGCGTCAGCAAGGTCAAGTGGAAATTATCCCCCCTTCCTCACTTCCCATCAAGCCCATGCATTGGCCTCTTCGCATTTTGACAGCCTGGGCACAAGCATCACAGGATTGCACCCCATCTCGGGCTCCCACGCAGCCAACCACCACCCGATCCAAACAGACGCCAGATCTTCCCTCCGCCCCAAGCAATCCCTTCAGCCCACCACCCCCTGACGGCCGCAACCATGACCCGGTGGATCGGTTGAGCGAGGGCCGACAGGCTAACGGGCCACAAACACACGAGCTGCGGATGCAAATGTGTGCCCGTCAGGCTCAAGGCCAAACCCCCCGTTCGCAAAGGCGAGGGCGCCCAAGAGCGGGCGTGCGCGGACAACCACCACTTTTCCCGCACAAAAGCCGCGATGACCGCAATTAGCGGATTGCGCTGCGGGCAAAGCCGGCCTCACCCGCCCTAAGGCCCGTGGCGCTGGCCCTCCGCAGCCCCTTCTTCTTGATGATGTAGCTGGTTCCGATGAAGAGGGACGAACTGACCGCGAGCGCCAATCCCGTCACCTGGTCCCTGTCCATCTCGCGCGGGTGCAGCGCCGCCTGCCGCGGGCATCCAGCAGGGAAGCAGACCACCAGCGCGGCGTCCAGGCGAGGGGTGGCGGTTTGGACAGGTGTGCACCAACCAGCGTTTTATGCAACAACTGTGGTTTGTGCAACGGTGTGCCGCCGCGAGTACGACAGAAGGGCGGTGGCTTGGAATGCACGGAGCGGCACTCCCTTCCCACCTGAAGTACTTAAGATATAGGTGGATGCCCGGGTTGCGGGCGCACATCTTAACGTGGACATGTGTTTGCCCAATAAGCACACGGGGACGAGCCAACCATCAATGTACAGGCCATCGTTTAAACGTGGGAATTCCACGTTAGTGGCACGCCGATAGTAGATGTTGGAATGCGACTACGTGGATTTTCCATGTTCAATAACAACTGTTTATCTCACAAGCTGAGTTTCCCAGAATCTGGATTTGCCACGTTCCCAGAAGCGGGCCCCGCCAGTGCTCTGGTGCTTTCGCCATCACAGACACTCAGTGGCACATGGCAGCCAGCGCAGGCAGACGCATGAAATTAACGCCAATTTGAAGACGCGCACCGGCACTCCCAGCAGGAGAGCACCAAGCCGCAGCACGCCATTACAGACCGCCATTGAAGACGTCAGCGTTCTGGCACAGAGAATGTTGTCTCCAAGCAAAACAAGAGCCAGCTCTGCAGAGCAGAAGCATAGGCACTCCCCTCGCTTCCCCACCCGTTCCTTTCACTTGCTCTCCCTCACAGGCGCGACAACCCCTCCACACGTTGTGACTGTTCAGTCGCTCCCACAGTGATGTCACTGACGACCCTTGGAGATCCACGACGCCTCTTCACAGAGGTTGGCGCAACAGGTCTCCATCACGCTGCCAACCTGTCCCCAGGATTCCGCTCAAGACCTCCTGGTTGGCCACCTCTGAATGTCGCAAGTCCAGGCAATGCACATTCAGAAACAAGCACGGTATTGCAGATGTCCTTGCAATGCACATTCAAGCAAGGCATTGTTGCTTGCATGCCCCACGTACGGCTTGCTCCTATCCCTCCAGACACCTTTTCACTCCAACACGCGACTGTCATGCCCTCGACAGAATCGCTAGAATTCACAATTGAAGGCAGTAAAACCCCCAGTCCATTGCCAGCCACTGAATTGTGCATTGGGGTCCTTTCAACTGTGAGTTTTAGCGATGGGTTTGAGGTCAGAGATCGGGTCAGAGCGTGGAGCGAAATGGAACGCGGCCGCTGCATCCACCAGCGCCCCGGGACACCCCAACCACGCCACCACCTGCCGTCAACCCCACCAGCGTTGGGGCCTCCCTTCCACCCCCGCACACAACAGACCGACGCCTCGCCACGCCGCCGTACACACCCAGCGATCCCCCTGATGGCCACATCCTACCCCCCACGCCCCCACCCCCCCTGGCGGGCACACCCCGCCAGTTTCTGGCACCACGTACCGGTCCAGGCTGGCGCACGGGGCCCACCAGGTACACCCCAACCAACGCCGATGAGCCTGCCCTGACCAAGCCCGGGGTCCTCCGCCCGACTTTGCGCCGCAGCCGATGTAGTAAGGGGCCAAGGCGGAGGCTGGGGATTGGGTGCGCAGCTGCGGCGCGGCCGTGAGTACCACGGGGGGTTGAGCCTGCCAGCAACGGCCGTTCCTGGGGCCGGTCTAGCGGCGACTGGCCGTGCCTCAAATCCGGCCGGGTGGAGGGCGCAGGCCACCGAGGGCCATCTTGGCGCACCCGTCAGACGCGCGCACGCCGCGGGCCGCTGCGCGAGGGGCCGGGCGGTATAAGTCCGCGGGCGGGGTGCCGCGGGCGGGCGGCGCGTGTGGGCAAGGTGGCTCGCCGGACGCTGACAAGCGGCTGACGACGGGGCGAGAGGCGGAGGGGCGGGGGCGGCTGACGGGGATGACCAACATGGAGGAGCCTCCGGGGTCGAGGCTGTTCGTGGTGTGCGGGAAATCGGCAGAGGTAGGGAGACACCGATTGGGCCACACACACCCACACCACGCCCCGCCCCATCCCACCTTCCCCCTGTCCAATCCCGGGGCTTGCCGGGATCCGGGGTGCGCTGGCGGTCAATCGCCGGGGCGTGCCGTGGCGCGGTTGGGCGCGTGGTGACCCTCGGCGGGCCGCTGACCGGCGGGATTGCGTGGGCGTCGCAGCCGGACATGCTCCAGGCGGCCTTCGAGCCCTACGGCCAGGTGCAGCACGTCAAGGTGATCCGCGACAAGGGAGGTGAGTGCCCCGAATGTCTACAGCCAGCCCCGCTTGGAGAAAACCCGCCTCGGAGACGTCGCGTCGGCCGGGTGGATGCCACATTGGCGCTCGAGCTTCCGCGTTCTGCGTTTCTCTGAGCCAGGGACGGCGGGGATGGCGCCCGCGACTGGATCGGGTGGGCATCCGGGGGGGCTGACGTCTCTCGCCGGCGCGTCTGACCGCGCAAGGGAAGTGATCTCGAGTCAACGCCACGCGGCCAGGCGTGCGGCATACATCGCAGGCGCCCCTTCCTCCCGCCAACCCGCCCTGTGTCGTGATTCTGTTCCTCGCGCACGCCCGCAAGATTCGTGACGCCATCGTGCGGATGATGCGCCCCCGACTCCTTGCCCCTGCGCGCAGTGGCCTATGTCAAGTTCGAGAAGGCGTCGTCGGGCGCGCTGGCGATGGAGAACCTCAACGGCGCGGTGCTCAACCACGGGAGGGGCCCGAAGGTCAAGGTGCTGCTGGCGGAGTCGCCGAACGTCAGGTGGGTCGACAATCCATCCTCTGCGCGGCCCCCGGGCGGATTTCAATCGCGGCCGCCTTCCGGGGTCGGGGACCGAGCCCTTGACTTCGGGGATCGCCCCGGACGGGCCCAGTCGTCGATCGCCGTTGGATGTCTGAGATTCTGTCCCGTGGGCACGTGTCCGACGGTGACTCCCCGGCTCAAACCCTCGAGGCTTCGAGCGACGGATGCGCGGCGCCCCCGTGTCCACGCGGACCCTCACCGAATCGAGGCGCCTTTGGACGCGGCGGTGGGGGCGCGGGGAGCGGTCGGGATCGTCGCCCGCCCCGCCGGGGCTCGGCGGCTGTCGTCTCGATCTTATTCATCTTTCAGAACAGTCACAGCACACGAAGCGGCGCCGGTCGCCAGAGTCCCCACTCCTGCTGCCAAAACCTGCCCACAGAAAAGACCTCTCCGTCCGCGTTTCCATAGATGGTCCCCTCTTCGCGGCGAGGCGCCCACAGTGCGCCTATGACACGAGGCGACAAAGCTGCACGAGCGCGTGAAAATCTGCCCGAAACTCGCGGGCCTCAACGGCACCCAGGTCGGGGGTGCCGGGCCGGTGCCGCCGGCGCCCCGTGGTCGCTGACACGTGGCTGGCTGGCGCCCGACAGGAGCTCCCCCCACACGCAGCGGCAGGTCGACCTGGAGCTGGCGTTCGACCCGGACAATGTGCCGCCGCGGTCGCGGCTATTCCTGGTCGTGCCCAAGACGGCGGACGCGCAGGCGATCAAGGTGATCGAAGGCCTCGGCGCGCTCTCCAGAGCCCCGGAAAGCGCCGCGGACTGCCGTTGCGCTATTCCTGGACATGGTGTGCTAAACAGCACGGGGAACGGTAGCTCTATTGTTTAGCCAACAACGCCCAGTGGCCAGTAACGCCTCGCAGCGCTGCATAGCGCCAACTCGAACCAATATCTGGTTGTGGGGCGCTGTTGATCGTTTCACACGTCTCCCAGTCCCTGGCATCGCCGCGGCAGTCGGCTTCGAAACATCTCCTCGAATGCCTGTTTGGCAAGGGAGAGTGCACATGTCGGGCCTGTTTCGCAGCGCGTTCTGAACCTGAACCATGGGCGTTGCACCCAGGAGGACATGGGCAAGTGCGTGGATCTGGAGTATTGCAAGACGGACTTGATCGCCTCCAAGGGCGTCGTCTTCTGCAAGTTCCAGAAGGCCTCGGCCGCCCTGAAGGCGATGGAGGACATCTGCGAGACCGGCACGGTGGGCAGCTAAGGGACTTAACCTTGCAGGGGCGGCGCCCGACCAAACGCTGTCGCTCAGCGGGTTCCGGATAGTGGTGATTTTGCTGCATACATGAGGATGTGATCACGACGCCCTCGCCTCGGGGTTCCGAGACACTTTCAGCGCAAGATACGAAGCCCTTGCTGACGATGACGGCTGCATCAGCATCCGGCAGCTGTCTGCTGTTTCCTGTGGCTGCAAATGTCCGTGGCGCAAGTGTCCATCGTCTCGTTGGCACAAAACTCCCGTTAACAAACTGCAAAGATTCGCTCTGGCACCGTGCACAAAAAATTGGTCAAAACGGGTTTCTGCAAAGTTCACGAGCGGGGGAAAGTGATCAGTATTCTTTTCCCATTTTTCCATCAACGTTTACAAGGTACTTTATTCATGGAAGGGTGTGGCAGTGCTGACAGCCTGTGCTGTGTTGGCGTGGGCCTCAGCTTTGTGGGTACAAGGTGAAGTGCATGCTCGCTGAGCCGAAATCCAAGCATCCGCGCCTTGAGGGCCTCATGCACGCCAGCTTCGGGCCCAGTGTCCAGGTCAGCAAATGGTCATGTTCCTTTCCCTCCCCTTTTATTTCTCGTTCCTGTGTTGGCCTCATTGTGATACGCACTCAGAGGACCGCGAACATTCGGCGAGGGGTATCGCATCGCTACGGTGGCGCAAATGCAGCGCTTTATCGCATACTGGTCATCGCAGTTCTGGCGTCGCACTGTGCAGCTTGGAGAATGTCGTGTCCTTTCCGCCGGAATAATTGCTGCCCATGTGTGGGCATTAAGATGCCAAACTGATGCAAGGTCAATCCCTGGCATCTACAGCACGGTCCTGATCGAAGCGCTGTGGGCGTCCTTTTCAGCTTCCTTATGTTTTAATCATAGAGCTCGCCAAGGCACTCACGTATTGCACATTCCTACGTGAAACTTTTCTTTCTTTCATTTTCGACCTCGGCGATACAGCGAACGGTCCTCAGCCTCGCTCCGCGCCGCTGTATTCATTCCGGACAAATGCAGCAGTGACTTCTGGTGCCTGATTTTTGTCCGCGTCTCCATGTCTCCCTTTCCTAATATATGCTTTTGTATGGGGTTTCTTTCCCTTTACATTTCTGCCTTATTTTGTAATCCATTGCTGTAATGTGCATTGTAGACACAGCTTGACTTCACTATGGGAGGATTGCACCTCAGCGGGCCGCATACCGCTAGATCTGCTGTCCGTGGTGAGTTGGTTCCAAGAAGACGTTTCTCCACCAGATATTTTGCAGCTGCGGTAGCTGTGTTTCAGTCTCGGACCCGAAAAAAATTGAGCTCCAGCAAACGCCTTTGAGTTTAGTTCCAAACCAAGTCATCGATGCCAATTTTGCCTCATGTGTGCGAAGCATGCCTCGCGGCAGGAGTGGCACTAAGTTGAGCTTCCAACTCGGCAAATTCACTCATGAAAACATATCGTATTGGCTGTTTCAGGCGACTTCAAAATTCCTGCATCGCCCTCCGCGATTTCCTGTTACGGTGGTTACCCCCAATACGCAGACACGTCACAGGCAGCCATGACTCAGATGGGCGGGTACCCCGACTACGGAGGGCTGAGCACCATGATGCAAGGGGTCTCGGGGTTGGCCAATCTGGGAGGCGCCCTGAACGGCATGAGCGTCGGAAACTTGGCAACCATGCAAGCCCTGAACGGCAAAATGGACGCCGTGAGCATGGCGCCGCAGGTCAGTGGGCTCATGCAGGCGAATGCATTCTGAATGCATCTGACAAATGCCGCAGTTTAATGTGGGCCCAGTTCCTTGGCTGAGTCCCTTGTGTTGCGCTTGCTTTAACGCTCTTGTGCCTCGGAGGCCACATACATGGCCATTATTGGAAATATTGGTACAAGGATTTGCACTTAGCAGCACTGTCGTGTACGGCTTTTAATTGAAAAGGGGATAACACTTCATGGGGGGAACACTTCAATTTGGAGTGTTGGCCCAGCACTTCAGCCCCTAATTTATTCTCCATCTCGCCGCCCGTCTGCGCGTACCAACGGCGCTCGATGCGATCATTTCTGTGGGGACTTGAAGGCGATGACGATATAAATGCATGCTGCAGAATATGTACAAATCGAACCCGGTAGTTTTGGGAAAATTTCCAGCGACGGCATTGGCAGCTGGTGCGTGCGGCTATCCATGAGGGTTTTTGAGGCACGTATGGCTATTCATGAGGCTGATTGATCCAACTGTGCAGTTCAAAATCCTGCCCAATACTGCTCCTTGAGTGCTGCGCATACCCGCACTGTACTTGTACCCTATTGTGCCGCACTATATGTGCCCGCGTTGCACAGCTCGCCTACGCGCTGCTCGATGCTACTCCAGCCAGCACCAGCGGCCGTCTGGCAGCTCTCGATGACTTTCGCCCGACATCTTCGCCTTCTTTTTGCCCAAACTTCGAAGTTCGCCTGAAATTGCCTGCTATGGCCAGGGCGGCGCTCCCGGCCTTGGACATCTGGGCGCGATGCGAATGAGCGCTACAGGTGCGCCGCCACTGGGGCGCTTGCATCTTCTCACACACGCGCGACATTGCCTTGCCGAGCGGGAAGCCACTGTGGGATGTGAGATGTCATGCTTTTCAGTACATTTGCTGAACATAGTCCATGGGGATTTTGTTATTCACTACATTTCACTGAATTTCATGGTACAATGGGGTGTGGACATGGGACCATGAACAATCTATTCCGAACAAATTATCTACTTGGCTTTCAAGACCATCATCGCCTACAAGGTGCACGATCTGTGTTTTGTCATTTTGCGGCAGCTGTAGTCCATGGACTTTGGTGATTTGTTACAGGGGCTGCCCAGCCATGGGAGCCATTGGTCAATACCTAGCTGCATCGGAAATATCCTGAAGGTTCTGTTGGGAAATTTCGTAATGATGTTGCAGCTCCTCCGCGCATTGATTTGGCCCTTTTCCCTTCCCAGGCGCCATGGAAAGCATGCCCGTCATGAGCATGGGCAGCGTGCCGCCGATGGGCATGGCGCCGCATGACTACACGGCGATCAGCTCTGGGTTGTCACCTGGCGGCAGCCCGCCCATCCTCAGCAAGCAGCGCCTCTTTGTTGTCGTGTACAAGGTGAGGGCTGAAGCACCCGTTTGTAAAGGCTTCTGTTGCTGCCAGTGCTGACATACTAACCGTTGACACTGGAAGCTGATAGAACAATATATACATCCCCATCTTGTGTCAAATATCCTTTGCAGTACACATACCTAGTATGTTCAACCCTTCCGCATTTGAAGTTTCAGCGTTACGAGTTTTGCTTCGCAGTTTTTCGACCAACCGTTGATTTGGGGCTCCGTATCATGGCCACAGCCGCAAGGGCGACTCCACTCAGTTTGGCCTTGAATGCCGGTTTTACGCCACAGCTATTCATCTGGAGCTGCTAGACGCCAGGAGCAGTCCAGAGACCCTCGCTTTGCAGCTAGGGCTGCTTCACATTCTCTCAGTACCGTTACATTTCTATTATTGCTCTGCATGAGAAGGCCAAACGCTACGCTGCAATACGGCAGAGTATATTATATTACAGCAAGCTCCTGTGATTCCAGAATATTTGCTGCAAATATCAAGTGTCTTCCAACTGCTCCATGCGAAGTGTGGACAACAAAGAGTGTGTAGTTCTCTTGCAGTGTACGAAAATCTGGAAAATGCAACATGGTGCTGCTTCGAAGCTTTCAAGTTTTTCTTGCAAACCTGCCAGGCTCTTCCAATACTAAATCCATGCATTCGTTTGAGTATGTTTTCCGATTGAAGGAGTGGAGAAATGCATGTATACGATGGGGCCACGAATTTCTCAAATGCAGCATCGAATTTGATTTTTAGTGTCGAGCGACGTTTCCATGCCACCCAATTGGCATGCCATTGCACATTGCGCAGGGGGTGAAAGAGGAAGAGCTTTCCAGGTTGTTCAGACGCTATTCCGGCATGGAGTATTGCGATCTGAAGAAAGACAAGAAGACAAGCAAATCCAAGGTTTGTAGCGCAAATGGGCCAAATATGTGAAGACATTCAAAAGATGGAGAAAGAGAATAAAGGCAGGGAAACAGGATGAAAACATAGACATACATGGGCTGTGATGCAACAGCACTAGAATGCTATGCTTTTCGCATGCCATCATGCATTCCTCGTCTACAATGAAATTGGAAGAAATCAACAGGCAGCTACATGAGTTTTTTTGTGTTTATAGATCACGTACTCGGGGTATCACATAAAACCTCCATCCTTCCAGCCGAACTGGAAAGTTGAAAGGTCGGCTGTGCAGAGAACATGTCAGGATTGCAGAAATTGGGCTTTCAGAGATTTCAGGAATTGGACCATCACATAATTGTTCTTCGTGTGGCAACAAGAGTGGAATCCAATCAGCGCATGTCCGTGTTCAATTAACTATCAAAGTACATCAATCTTCAAAATGAGAATCACAGCCACTTTAACTCTTGAAGAATTGCGCATGTAATCACTGCGTCACTGCGACTTCGCCCAGGGCTACTGCTACGTCAACTACTCGACACACGAAGCCGCAAAGGCGGCCATCCAGGCGCTGAACGGCATCGAATTCCCGCCCCACTCGGGACACCGCATGAAGGTCATGTTTGCTGAGCCGCTGGGCGTCAGGAGCGCGCCCTCGTCCCCGGGCATGTGCGCCCCGAGCGGCGGCGGCCCCCCCGGCGGTCCCATTCCGGCTTACGACAAGCGCCTGAGGTCCGTCGGACAGGGCAACGCTGCATGCGGCTGTGCGGCCGATTTGACTGCGGCGCCTTATGACGAGAGCGAGGGAAGCGTGGGGAGCGGTGAGTTGCGTGCGCCCCCTGGGGGCATTTTTCTTCCCTATCTGCCAGCACCACTTGGTACCACACCTTGAAGATGCGCACCGTGAAGGTGCGGTGTGATCCTGCAAAATGGCCGTCGACAAGGCACAGCATCGGCTTCGCACCTTGTAGGCGATGGTGGGCTTGTCTGCATGGTAGAACGTTTTCATGCGTGGCTTGTGCTTCCTGCAGAAACCATCTGTCCGTGTCACAGGCAGCAAATATGCCTTTCGCAGAGCTTGTGCTCGTGAGCAAACTGTGTCATTTTCGTGCACGTTATGTGACCTAAATCGGTGCCCACAAATGTGGCCTGCGCTGTGCTCTGGCGTCCATTTTCTGCAGTTGGATCGGCATGTATCCTGGCGATCGCTTGGGGCGCTGCATCTTGGGCGGCATGTGCTGGCGGTTCTTGAAATCTGAATTGCGATCCCCGGCTGAACCAGATGGGCCCACAAACACCCAAGGCATGTTGCACCAGCGCCATGTACATTGTCCGTTGTACTTGTCCCCTTCCAGCTCGCATCCTTCCAGCCGATTTCACCCATGTCTGTTGCCCTTCATTTCCTGGCATGAAGTCATAAAGGCCGTGAAGGTCATTGCCGATTTAGGTGCTTAGATTTTTAGGTTTAGGGTCCCCAGTACCCTTCATGACGCCTTCACGGCCTTCATGTCCGAAGTGATAGGCGTCGGACAGCGCTCGCTGATCTGAGAGCGCCCCTTACAGTTCACGCTTGCTCCCTCCACCGCAGACGGCGCCCCGCTCTTCGAGAACGAACCGGAGGACGACAAGAAGGTGTTCACCATGCTGAGCCGGCAGCTGCCGGACTACGCAATCCGCCACGTCTTCTCCAAGTGCGGCGCCGTGGAGGGCGTCCGGCTGCACAAGGACCGGCGCTTCGGCGTCGTCACCTTCGCCTCGTCGGAGTTCGCCAAGTCCGCTGTCCAGATGCTCAACGGGACGGACATCCTCGGGGAGGGCCTCACCGTGTCGGCCAGCCCCATCGTCCCCTCCCCATCGCCGGAGTGCCCTGCCACGGGCACGGGGTGAGAGTTTTTACCCCGTTCTCTAAGGCCCTGCGCTTGGCCCGTGGGCGCAGGATACTGCAGGAAAAACGCGGCAGGATGGCGCGAGTGCGCAGCCGAGGGCGCGGGGTCCATGGGGAAGGGTTCTGAGCGAATAACGCACCTGTTCGCGGTATTTAATTGCACGGAGGGCTTCCCCGTTAATGTACTGGACACCGGTGGGGGCATGGATGCGGAGGGGGAGGGGGCTGCGATTCCAAGTTCTGGAAGGGATGCGGGGCGCGCGGAGACCCAAACGGGGAGTTGAGAGGGGGATGGGAAAGGCGGGGGGGCGGGAGGGGGCGGTTTGTGAAAGGTGGGCGCGGCGACGCCAGAAATGAAGAAAGGATGCGGATGCGAGGGAAGGAAGCGGACGCGATTGCCCTGCGGTGACGGAGCGGCCTGGTTGGGCTTACGAGGTCAAAGGAGGGGGTACCCGCTTTTTGGGGATCCCCGGGCTGGGTCAGTCAGTCAAGGCGGACAAACAGACGGGCCGGCGGGGGGCGGGCGGCGTGGTGCCGATCCTTCCCCCCTCCCGGCCTGGGTTCGGTTCCTGTGACCGCGAGGGAGCCTCATTTGATTGATTCTACGACCCTGGTAGGCGCAATTGTTCGATCGATTTCATTGTGAGTTTTGCAACGCCCGAGCGAAAGGCCATTTTCCAGGGGACCAGGGAGACGGTACTGGGTCAGGAGGGGGCGGGGGACCACGCGGAGGTTTGGGGAGGGGTGCTCGTGGTTGAGCGCGTGGACGTGTGATTTGCTCGGCGGCGGTGCGAGGGCTGGTGGCGCCACGAGTCGGAGAAAGAGATGCATGCGGCAGGTGCAATCTTGACCCCAAGAGGCCGGGCGACCCGCCCCTGGCCAGACTGTGAAAGCACGTCCGGAAGGGCGTGGAGTCGATCGGTTGGGCGGACGACGGTGGGTCAGGGCCGGTGGGCGCTGCAGTCCGGGCGACGGGCCCGGACAGCCGTGCACGTGGTGCCCGGGTGGACCATTTTTGAATGGGACGCAGCCGAATTTTGGCTTTGGGCGCGCCTGCCCGAGGAAGGGCTGTGAGGATTGGTGGTGGCGCAGTGCGAGGTGGAGCGCCACGGACTCCGTAGATGGGCTTGACAAGCTGGAGGGTTTACTAATGAACGGTGTTCTTCAGGAGGTTTGGCCCTTTGCACGACGCGCATTTGATGCTCAGTGCATTTGATACGGGGGTTTTATTGGGCATGTCGTTCGTTTTGCTTAGACGCGATGACAATCCGTGATGTAGCAATATTTGAACACGCACATTCCAAACGTTCTGATCTGTGTATGGGTGGCTGGGGACGCAAATAGGAGTCCAGGGGGGGGGCAGCAGCGTTCGGCCCCCCCATCGCTGCCTTGGTGGGATTTTCTGTGGCGCCAACAGGGGGCTTGAGGGGGGACGGCGGCCCCTCGTTCGTGGCGTTGACATGTGACTCACGTCATGTGCGCGCCGCCGCCTTGAAGATGAAATGTATTGTAATGCGAACTTGAGGGGAGGAATTTGCGGAGTGTGGTGGCCCACCCCGTGGCCGACCCGTGCTGATGTGGAGTCCGTTTGTGTTAGGCCGGCACTGTGGCAATGCTGCAGATCCCGACATCGAAATCGGTTTATTTGAGGCGATCCGTGGTATCTGTCGCATTAATCGCCAAAAGTTGCAATGTACCCTTTTGTCATCTCTACCAAGTGATCCAGAAAGCACCTTTTTTGGGGAGCGATTTCACACTTGACGCAACCTGGCATGCTGGACCTTCATCTGATTTACATCTGCAGGTGCGATTTAATGCTGGTACCGTGCACACTAAAGTCGATTACTCAGGCAAAATTGACACTGCCAATATATGCCTACTCTCAGTTCAAGCAGGGGCCTTTAATGTCAAGAACTCCTACATGAAGTCAGAACGGCCACAGGAACACTTTAACAATCTGGGTTACCCTGAGCGTACTAACGCGCAATGTATGCCCGTGGTGGCCAAGTACAGTTGTAGTGATGACAAATCTGGACACCATCAGCACATTTGCACCTGTTTCACATGCTGTCTCAGCCGCGAATGGGGCCACCACAACTTCCATCGCCATTGGAGATTCACACATTGTGCGTAGTGCGTTGTCTCGCAGGTGTCCAGCACCCTTCAATTCCGGACATGAAGGTCATGACGTTTTATCTCTTAAGTCTGTTGCTTATTTTTAACGTTTAGGGTCATCGTACCCTCCATCCGGAAATCGGGATGGAGTAGCAGCAAATTTGATGGCCTTGCTGCAACGACTTTATTGATGTGCTTATTATTGCAATGCAAATGCGCCAAAATCATATGAAAAATGGTCTCGACTTTGACGCACTTTGTGGTAATTGCCAAGGAACTGGGCGTGGACTCTAAAACCCTATCAATTGATTATTCAGATTCGATCACCATGAGCATCAATGGCATCAGGAGCAATAATGCTGATGGAGCGTTGATGCGCACGGAAGTGCACCAACAAACTCACTGTGACAAGGTCCCTCAACATTGTTGCACAGGGCGCAAGTTGGCCAAACAATTAGAGCAAACATGTGGACAAAGAAGAATGTCAGCAATTCGCTATAGTTTAATTGGTCAAATCAGTTATCGTACACGAATGTAGAAAAGAGCGTTGGCAATGGAGCTGGCGCAGATCAGCACCAATGCTGTGATGGTTCTAGTGTCATATGCGCCGCGTGTCCCCTAGTTGTGTGCAACTATGAGTAAGCACGGCGCCAGTATGCCCTATGTGCACTTGCTTCATTCCTCACAGTCACGTCGTGGATCGAAATGCAGCCACATTCCGCCTTCTATGGTTAGCATTATTTCCATGTACTGGCGAGAGCAGGCCTCCTTCCATCCGCCCATCCGCTTTGCGAGTCTGAAGAGGACAAACACACAACGATGCATTGATGCGACATTTTGATCCGTAAATTTTGCTCATGAACAGACACTGTTCCATGGAGCGGAACTAAGGGTAATTTAAATTGTTAAAGAATGGCGCCTATTCCCTGACAAAGGGGGGCGAAACAGGGTTTGAAATCCGGTGATAAGATGCACGATCCATTGCTGTTTGCAAGCATGTACCCCCACAGGCAGTATTCTCGTCCAGGTATGGGCATCAAAATTGTGCACTGCAATCGCGGCCAAGCTATTTGCGGCATGTCCTTCGAGCATCCCAACACGCATGCTCTGATAACTGTGTGCGTCTGCGACATCTGCATTTGTATTACAAAGGTATTGCAGACGCACACATTTATCAATCTTCCCAAGAAAATTGCAAATATTGGAAACGTCACAACGTTCCAATCAAGGACAAGGTAGCTTTCCAAGCTGAATTGAGAAATGCAGAGGAGCAGTCATGCAGAAGGTGGTGATGAAAGGCAGCCCCGTGCAGAAGAGGGGCGTGCAGAGAAAATCCACCTGGTGGTCAGAGAGTAATCGACGAAATGCGTCAGTACAATGCGCTTTCATGGCCTGCGCCTTGACGCACGAAGAACAATGCACCGAAACGGAGGCGTTTGCGTCGACGCACACGAGACAACGAGACAAAGCCGACCGCTCGCACTACCTGATGTTGAAGTTGGCCACAAGGAACGCCGCAGCCAGGTGCATCTGCATTAAGGCCATCCTCTGGGCGATGCAGCTCCTGGGGCCGTCGCTGAAGGCCCATCCGCCACCCGTTGCGGCGCCTTTCCCGGGCGCGGTCCCGTCCCGCGACTCTTCCACCGTCGCGGCCTTGCGCCACCTCTCCGGGTCGTACACCTCGGGGTCGTCCCACAGCCAGGGCACGCGGTTCAAGGCGTACGGGCAGATGTTGATGACCGTGTTTTTTGGAACGCGGTAGCCGCACACGCGCACACTGTCGCTCGGGACGCTCCTGATGACGTTGGCGACCACCGCGGGGAACATCCGCATCGCTTCCTTCACCGCCATGCCCAAGTAGCTGAGCCCCATGACGTCGGAGTAGGAAAGTCGGCCCACGCCCCCTTTCCTGATGCGCGCGAACACCCCGCTGGCCTTCAGCTCGTCCACGACGCCCTGCTGGACGTCCGGGTGCGCGGCGATCGCGAGCAGGACCCACACTATCTGGTGGGTGGTCGTGTCGGTGCCCCCCACGACGAACGTCGCGATTTCCTGCAGGAGGCGCGCTTCGTCGAGCGGCGCTCCAGTCTCAGGGTTCTTGAGCCGCATCAGACACGCCCCAATGGACATGTCATCCGCTGCTGGCGTGCCCCTTGCTTTCAGCTCCGCCAGCATCCGGTCGTAGTGCGCGTAAATCTGGGCGTACATTCTTCTGCAATCTCGGGCGAGCTTGCAAGTGGGGAAAGCCCACTTGACCAGGCGGCGAAACGGGTTCGTCGCGCTGGCCATAACGTCCGTGCTGCAGTACTCGAGCGCCTGCAGGCCGGGGTGGCGGTCGTCCTTCAGGGACTTGAAGTCAATGTCGTAGCCCACCACGCCGAGGGCGTCGAACATGTACCTCAGCATCAGGCGCTCCACTTCAATGGGCTCTGCGGACGGGTGCGTTCTTATCAAGCGGACCAGCTCGTCGGCCTTCTTGACGAGTCTGGGGAACGCGTCTTTGAGGGCCGCCGTGCTGAACGCCTTGGCCACCCCCTTCCTCACCGACTTCCAGTGGTCGTCTTGCTCGGGGCTGGTGAAGATGCTGCTGCCGGGCACCGGAGACAGAATCTGCGGAAGGAACCGAGTTGCGGGTCAGGCGATCGGGACCTCTGTCACTGACATAAGTACGGCGTTATGGGTGCATTGCGGGGGGCACGTCCTACAAATTGCCAGCACAAGTCTCGCGTTTTGAAAGCCAATGTATCAATCCAATTACAATCCAAAAAGTGTCGCCTATTGGATTGTAGTGTCCTGCAACAAGAAAAAATACAACACGCAACGGTGCACTGTGGGTACCGCACGGGCCGTTCTCAGATGACGCTTCTGGGACCCCATCCTCTCTGCCGAAGTACAATAAATTCCAAATAGTTTCCATCAGCCTTCGGCACGGCCGCCCTTGGTAGAAACAACACTTTGGCAGTGCCAACTGCGATGCCATTTTGACACTAAATGGCGGCAACAATGACTTCGATGGCATTAAAAGAATTGTGATGGCATCTATGAGTGGAACTTGGCTTTGGAGTTGGCATCGCCAGAATTGTGTTTTCCACCAGCGCAAGCATGCTCACCTTATGCAGCTCCTTGTAGAACGGCGACTTGGGCATGCCGTTGCCACCATACCCCGTGACGTTGTTCTGGAGGTACTCAGGATCGCCTACAAACAGGTGATAGCCCCCCACGCCGGGAAGAGAAACCTGCACGACGGAACAGCCTCAGTGCACAGAAGCGCACACAGGCACAAAAAGGTCCACAGAGGCGAGGCTGGCCTCATTTCCGGCTGGCGTGAAAGCCGGTCCGCAGACTTGCTGAGCATTTTTTTTCCTAGGAACTGCAGCTTGGGGGGGAGGGGGGGGGGAGGCTGGAAGAGGCACTACAATCTGAGCCCTCTGTGTAATATCCCTGAATGTTATACATTCCCAAGATGGGCTAAGGATGGGTATCCAGGGATGGACATCCTCCCTGTGCGGCAGAGTGTTGCTGATCAGCAACAACTCTTGAGATGTGCAGGCCCACATCTACACAACCGCATGAGGTTTCCGGAATGCATCATTTTTGCCCTCAGCACACGAGCAACAGCGCCCAAGGGCCACGCACCCGCGAGGCCGCTTCCATGCGAAGCTTGCGAGCAACTCGGCAGGTCGCGGAAGACCTCGGATACGGAGATCTCCGGGTCGCGGACAACAGCACCGATACCGTGTTTCTGGATTTGCCGTTGTTTTCCGGGTCGCCTTCGGTGTGCACCAGCCCAGCACGTTTCATTTCGGCACCCCGCGGCACCGCCAGCCCAGCCTCCCAACAAGAAGCACAGCCGACCAAGAACAGGCTGTCTGCCGGATCCCCCCCTGGGCACACCTTGACGATATTCCCGTACTCCTTCATCCACTCCAGGACCTTCAGGTGCGGCCGAGGGGCCTTCCATGAGAACATCTGAGGCAGGTTGCCGACGATCGGGTAGGCGGACGGGCCGGGGATGCGGTGCAGGTCGTACTTGGCCCGACGCCGCCATCTGCTCGCAAGACCGGCGACAAAGGCGGCCAGCAGGGCCGCCGCGGCGACCAGCCTCAAGGGGATGGCCTCCATGGTCGACGGGGCCCTATGCGTGCCTCCGCACGCGCGCTTGTGCGTGTGCGTGCTTGCGTTGCTGTGCCGCTGCGTGCGCAGTTTGGCGCCCGTTCCACTCGGGGGAAGCAGTGCGCCTCCGCACGCCGCGGGGTCCTGGTCAGCAGCACCCCTATATGTTACTCTCAAGCTCCTCGCCCCTCGTGTGAGGCTTCCGCTTCGAGGCACCAATGAGTAATCGCACATCGAGACCGCAGGACGCGGGCGGGTCCGCGGGTGTGATCGCTGCGCACCGCGGCCAACGCCGCGTCTTGTTGGGTGTAACGTTAATTCAAGTACCATGCCATCCAAAACAGGGCGCAGTCTAATCCCTCATTAGGGTATCAGCATACCTAATAGGTATGCTAGTCCCCTGATGAGGGGTTAGACTGCACGCTTCCTTGCCTCTGGCGGGGTGGTTTGGGCAGATCGGTGGGACATCCCATCGAAGGCACCCAGGTGGATGCCCGGTCCCCACATCTACTTCACCATCTGCCCTTCAACATTGCCAGCGCGGTTGACAGCGCAACGGAAGCCTCGCTCGGCCACGATTTTCGTAGCCCAGGAGCAGGGCATCGTATTCCCGTTCTGGCACCGCCAACCGTTGGGCATGTTCGTTGGTTGAATAGAAAGATGCCGGAGGGTGCAATTGCTAATCTGACGCCAGCTTTGAACAGGCAAAGGTCCTTCCTTCCAAGACGGGAGTCCTGACGCGGTGCTCGGTGCAAACGCGCGGCCTGCTAAATGCGGGGCCCTTGCACCTTGCAGGCAATGGCCGACGCGTGCGGCTTCCAAGACGCTTTCTTCTGTCGCCGTCTGTTTTCGTCCTTGTAGCCGCCTCCCAGCACCGTATATAACTGAGGCCCCCCAAAGTGAATAAATGAATTGAACCAAACAACGTGGCCATGTCCCTAAGAAGATAATTCGCTCCAACCCAACGAAAAGCGACGTCCATGTTGGAATCGCACAACTTTGGCAGACTGTACTATACGGTCTGCACTTCACAGGGAAAAGTGGCGCTGGCAAGCTTGTCACTACTTAGGCTTAACTGCTTTTCGTGCTTTTCTACTTAAGTGCTCGCCAGTACCTAACTACTGGCAAGTAGTTGCCCTTTACTGCTTTTTGTGATTTTATTTATTGAGACTCGTACCACTTTTTTCCCTTGGGGCCTCAGTCGTGCCTCCACCACGGATTCCCCCTCGCTTCTGCTCCCCTTTCTTTTTGTCGTTTGACTGAAAGCGCACATATCGCCAGAGTTTGAGCGCCTTTGGGGATCGAGGTTGCGATTGGCCATGCTGCGGAGACACTGATTTCACAACTACAGATGTATGTTGTTGTGGGGCCCCTCTAAATGAGCTTATCCATGCAAATGTGTGCTCGATCCTCGACGCAGCCCAGGCAGTACCGTGACAAACAATCTGCCCAGGCCCGTCTGCTGTGGAGCACGGCTTTGGGCCTGAGCTGCCAAGCCGGGCTGTCGAGCATCCTCCCGGTGCCATTGAGCTACATTTCAAAAGATTTGGGCGTACATTTGGATCAGCGTTATCGTGGACGGGCCCCGTTGCAAAGGCCGTCAACCCCTCGCTGAAACTGACATCATTATTGTGCCAAAGCATCGCACGGTTTTAATGATGTTAGCAAGCAGTTGCAGCTTTTGGCCAGTGCGGCAACTGCGACATGGATGACGGTCGGCAGCCTGAGCACTTACGCTGCAGAAGTTGGCAACGGCTAACGCGGCCATCAACGACACAGCTGCTACAATGGATCGCCCATCCTGGTCGTTGAGGGGCAGGGGCGCTGCCACACCACCTGCAAAGCTGAGTAACGTTGGTAGAGCTGCCGTTGGGAGCGATTTACTTTCGAAGTCCACTACCGAGTTGGCGCACGAGTGACACTAGGGCAAAGGGACATGCCCGTACGTGCACCCATCATCCAGCAGCGTAGCAGGAATTCAATTCGACGGCTGGCAAGATGATCAAACGCCAGGCCGCGCATGTATCATGCGACTCCCAAAGTTGCAGCGCCGGAATGTATTTGACAAGAAAACAGCGCAGCTCACTGGACTCATGTTATTCAGTTTTTGGTACATGCAGAAGTTGCCCCATCGCGCAGAAAATGGCGGTAGTCATGTTGAACAAAATGAGGAGGGCCAGGCCATTATAGACCATTCTGACCGCTCCTATAATTGAATTCGTCTTCGTCTCATCAATCTTCAGCATCCAGACCAGCCACCCGAGTAGGGTCACCAAGAGTTCCCCAATCCACTGGATGCCAGCGCCCAGGAACTTCACGCTCCGTCCGACAACGCCAGCCAACGCCGCCATGACGGCAGCTCCTTCCATGGGCGATCCCGGAAAGCTCATAACCATCTCGCACCTCACCGCAGAGGTCTCCACCAATTCCGTACGATGCAACGCCCTCACAGCGTCCACTCGTTGCGCGTACCGGCCGATCCGCACTCCCGTAGGGTGCTACGGCACTCCAACACCAGCGACGGCGCTCGCCTTGCGTAATGCGCCGCCCTCAGTCACTCCGGATCCCACGAAAGTCTTACTCACCACTCAGCGCGAGTGTGAAAAACGCCACAGAGCCTCGGGGCTCCTTAGGCCGGCTTGCGGACACGCGGGTACCACAAGAGGGCAAGACCGGTGAGCGGTCGAGCCGGCGGGGGGCTGTGGCGCGACGGTGGGAGGTACAGGCGGCTGGGACACAGAGATGGTCACACAGAGGCCTGCCGGAGAGCTGCCTGGACAGACTCCCCGCGGCTTTTTATTACAAGAGTGTCTGTTTGGTACAACTGTTCCTCATTGGTTCACCCCTCTCGTCACCCTTCCGAGTCCACTCGCATTACCGGACAAGAAAAGACCCAATCAGTCACACACTCCACGACAGTCCACCCCGTACAATCGCATGCCAGCTAAACTCGTCACACGTTCCTCCTCCGCCAGAGATTCTCTTGGACAGCTCCAGTCGCGCCAGCTGGCCTCAGGCATCCTCTGGTCATCGCGTCATCCGCCAGCGTGCACCTCGTCCCGTCACGATCGCCGCCCCGTCTACCGATTTTCAGTAGTCCGCGACCTTCAGCCACCGAATCCCGGCGGGAGCGATGGCGTCATCACCCTCTCGTTGCGCGTCCCATCAAAACCGGGTGGCAGGGCCGGTGTCGTCACCTCGGCGGCGCCGATGGTTGCCGGTACCGTAGGCGGCTCCTCACTGGGCACATCCACCATGACGTCATCCGGGGCTTGACCGCGCGCCCGCGCTTCCCGGCGCTGACGCCGGATGGCCCTCCGCCAGGCGCGTTCCTCCGCGCGTACCTCGACGTCCGTGTACGGCGGTTTGCCCGCGTTGAGTCGTCGCGCCACGATCGCGCTGGCTTCCGTGAAGGCTGCCGAGGGCAGTACGGCGGCGTTCGGTTCTGTTTGGATCCCGAAGTCCTTCTTCCCCCGCGGGAAGACCTCAAACGCTCGTGATGGATGCGTCGCTGCGTACTCGTGGCGGGTCACGCCTCCACCCTCCATGCGCCAACATCTCGCGTCCGAGAACGGCACGCTGATGTCGAGGCTGATGTGTACCTCACGCCTGTAGTAATTCAATTCGGCGCCTCGCCAGGCCTCAACTCGACCACCCTCACGTTCGATCATCGCGGCGATCCGCTGCTGAAAGGCCTGCGTACCCATGCCGGTGTACGGCCGGTGCGGATGGGGATGCACCTGGAGGGTCCAGGGGCGGTACACGGCCTCCTGTTTGTAGTCAGGGTTCCAGTCTGGCTTCTCCCCTAGCCCTGGCAGATGCCCTGACGTCAGTTGCGTTGACTCCGTGTGCTCGTACGCCTCGCGCGCCTGCTCCTGCAGCTGATAGCGTAAGGCATCCTCTCCATGATCCCGCTGGTGATGCAGCCACTGCGCGTCCTCAGCGCTGAACGGCAGGATGACGGTGAGCCCGAAGCTCCAGTACCCTTCCGGGCAGTCCGCCCTCTCGAGATACCATCTCGAGAGCCAGAGGTCGCCGAAGGCGAGCCACTGGGCGATCAGAAAGCGCCAGCTTTCGACTTGGCGGAATCGCGCTGCTGTCATGGCTGCCGGGAAACCGCCAACCAACTGCTGGGCAGTGGGACTGGGAGGCGGGGCTCGCTGTGCAGGACGGTCAGACTGCAGGGGAGCGCTGCTGTGCGCTTTTGCCGTTTTGGAGGTCTTGGACGGTGTTCGGATGTCGGACTGGTCGTTTGACGGCTTGTGGGTGTGTGAGAGGATGTCGTTATCCCATGCTGGGCATCAAAGTCGGACGGGACCTTGCATGCGGATGCGTAGTTGGTCATGCAGGGTAGTGAAACTGTACGTTGGAACTGGTTCCGGAATCTGTGATCGCTGAGCGGCTTGATCTTGTACAGTCCTGGTCGGTTTGTAGCTTTTTGATCGCTCCTCATGCTGCTGCTATTATCAGATGTAAGATGCTCTTGATGATGTAGTTAATGGTGGCCAGTCGATGCTGCTGGAGATGTTGCCGGTAGATGATGGGAAAATGAAGTTGATGGAGACATTTGCCATGTCATTTATGGCCTGGAAATGGCCAACTTTAACATACAACGAAAGGGCACAATGGCCATAAAAGGAGTTGAAGCGAGTTGCCATGCTGGCGCCTGGTCGTTGCCAAATTAATCCAAGTGTTCGCAGGATGGCCTGATAAGGTGAGAACCCGTCGTGGACATGAACGTCAGGACCACAGATAGCGCAGTACGTTCCATTGCAATGTGGCCAGTTTTCAGCCATCAGGCGTCGCTCGGGGTGGCGGAGATCCGCCAGTGACAATGCTCCCCAAGCAATGCAGAACAGTGAGGCGGCAATGTTTGCAAAGATTGTGGGCACACGACCTGCCGCCATTCCCTTCAGTGCACATGTCTTGAGGCAGCATTCCATTCTATCAGAATAAACATTTTACACGCCAATTGTACATCAATTAATCATGAAAAATGCCATCAGAAGCACAATTCGTGCAATCTGTCGTCCAGGAAAAAGCTTTGAGTACCCCCACACCCACTGTAAGCATTTGCCAAGCATTGTGTCCGAAGCGAAAGCAAGAGAATCCAGAGAAATCGACCAACGTACAGGCACTCTGTCATTGTTTCAAGGGAAAAGAAAGCACTGCTTATGGCCCTCATGGCTGCAGTGTCACAGCAGTAGCAGGTCGACACCAACGCTCGCCATTTTATCATTCCTCCAAGTCTACCCGAGGGTCAAAGTGCAGCCACATGCCTCCATCAATGCACATAACCAACCCAATATACTGGCGAGAGAGAGTCCCCTCCCAGCCGCCCATCCTCTCTGCAAGCCTGTAGTCGACAAACAGATTGTTAGCTCACCACACACCAGCCGCTGACCACCGTTTGCTTCCACAGACTGGGCGTTCCCCGCAGAGAAGGTAGACAGCTCTAGTCAGTTTAGCAGGTGAACAGACGAGTTCAAGGTGCAGCACGAGGGTTGTGGACTGTTGTCCAGCATCAAGAACAAATGCCTGGTACCCTTTGCAGCTGCAAGTATTCGCAAACCAGAGCACAGCCACAAGATCCATGCGCTTGATGGTCTGCAACAGTCAGCTGAGGTGCAACTGCCAAGAGAATGGGAGCACAAGAGTGGCCAGTGATGCTGTGCAATTGTCCTGACACCTTCTTTCTGGAAACTGAGCATGGACTGCCAATCGAAATTGCAGGAATCTGACAAGTTAATGCTTGTGTATCCCAAAGCAGACAGACAGCAGATGCTCAAATAGCACTGGTAGCAATGGCATCAACAACAGTTGTAGGCAAGGTACAGATGGATGCAATACATGGCTGAGATTGACTCTGCGCAAGGTGGGTAAGTGCAAAGTGGAACGACGCACATCAACACATAGAATCCAACTTCACAATACCTCAGTTCAAAGTTCGCAAGCAAGACTGCCACAGCAAGGTGCAACTCCATAATCGCCAGCCGCTGGCCTATGCAGTCTCTGGGGCCATCGCTGAAGCTCCACAATTTCCGAGGGGGGCTCTTCTGCCCTGGGTGCGCCTTGTCCTCGGATTCCACGCTAGTTTCATGCTTGACCCACCTCTCAGGGTCAAACTTTTCGGGACTGTCCCACAGCCAAGGGACATTGTTCAAGCCAAGCGAGTTGATATGGATCAGGGTTCCTTTCGGCACGCGGTATCCACACACGCGCACACCATCCTCAGTTGTTCTCCTTGAGCCGCCGAGGGGCCCCACAGGGAACATTCGCGTGGCTTCCTTCACAACCATCCCCAAGTACGAGAGTCCCATCACGTCAGAGTAGATGAGCCGATCGGCAGCCCCATCCCTGACAAGCTGAAACACCCCTGAGGCCTTAAGCTCGTCCACGACCCTTTGCTCCACTTCTGGATGTGTGGCGATTGCAAACAGTACCCACGTTAGCTGGTGGCTGGTTGTGTCAGATCCTCCAATGATGAACGTCCCCACTTCCATTGAAAGGGTGGCATCGTCCAGAGGAGCGCCTGTTCTTGGGTCCTTGATCCGCATCAGGCAAGCCCAAATGGACATGTCATCCGCAGCCGGCTGCTCCCTTGCTCTCAACTCTCTCATGATCAACTTGTAGTAGTCATAGATTTGGGAGTACCGTTTGTTGCAGTCTTGAGCGAGTTTGCCCAAAGGGAATGCCCACTTCACCCACTTGCGCAGTGGGTTCAGACAAGTTGCCAGGGCATCATCGGCACAGTACTCAAGCGCCTCCAGAAAAGGGTGGTGCTCATTCTGAAGTCCTTTGAAGTCGATGTTGTAACCGGCCAACCCAACAACATCGAACGTGAGGCGCAGGAACAGGCCCTGAACTTCGATGGGTTCTGTGGGTGGCTTCTTCTTGATGATGTCAGTGAGCTCGAGCACTTTCCTCAATGCTTGGGGGAACACATCTTTGAGAGCCGTTGTGCTGAATGCTCTGGCCATTCCTTTCCTGATGGCTTTCCAGTACTCATTCGTCTCAACGCAGGTGAAGAGAGTATCTACATCATTTGGGGAAGCCAGCTGCACATAGAAATGAGGTGATAATATCAGACACAGCATTAAATTTCAGCAACACCAGATTTTCAGGAGCCTGTCCAAGACCTATCTGCAGGAACTGTGCCGGTAATTTTCTGCAGACAGCACGACTCTCCACCCATTTTGACAGGCCAGGAGCAGCTTGAAGGGGTTGGCGCCACAAATTCTTCGTGGTGAGACTCGATGCTACCTCGATACATCAATGCCCAAGATGCACAACGCCATTGAGGAAATATCACTGATGGGTGCAATGTATTGGATTGGAGAGACGCAGGGTGAGTCCCCAAGATCATCAGGGATTCTCTGGGAACCACACTGCTGAAGGACACAATTCCTGCAAACGCACTCCAAAACCTTTCTATGCTCAACAGCGATGCCCGCAACACTTACCACTCTGAAATCGTTGTACAATTTCGACTTGGGAAGTCCGTTGGCTCCGTGCCCTGAGACGTTGTTCTGGAGGTACTCTGGGTCTCCAATGTACAGGTTGTACCCACCCAAGCCCGGAAGAATGAGCTGCAGGACAACAGGGCCGCGGCAGTAAGACAACAGTGCCGCTGGGTTTGGAGCGTGGGAATCTCCGCGTGTTACTTCGCTTTGGGGTGGCGCAACCTCTGGATGCCCGTCGCCCTGGCGTCACCACCAGCGAGCATCGCGTAGTTTACAACGCTGACGCGTCGACTCGCGGTTGACTGGAGAGCCGCGGTGCCCGCGGCATTGAGCGCCGCACCCCAAAGCAACCACCCAAAGTCACCTGCCCTTCACCAAAACGGAACTCCGTCGCGCAGCAAGGACCACATCAAATCTCCAGCTTTTTGGCCACTTTGCGACTTTCGCGAATAAAAGTCCGACACCGTCGAAACCTCGCCGGAGCCGCTCCGCCACAAGCCATTCGCCTGCCACGACGGGCGTCCCGCGACCGGGCACCGGCGATCCCAGCCTGTCCTGCCCCACCTTCATAATCTTCCCGTGCTCCTTCATCCACGCCAGCACCTTCAGGTGCAGCTGCGGCCTCGCCCACGTGATCATCTGCGGCAGGTTGCCGACGATCGGGTAGGCCGGCGGGCCGGGGATGAGGTGCAGATCGTACTTGGACCGGTGCCGCCATCTGATCACCAGGCCCGCCACGAAGGCGACCAGCAGCGCCGCCGCTGCCAGGAGGCTAGGGGGGGGGACGTCCATGGCGAGGGCGCTCATGGGTGGGGTGCGCGGCCCGCTGCCCTGGCCGTGGCAGATCCTGGCTGGACGTCGCTGGGTGGACGGTCTGGCGTCGCCCTCGAACAACGTTGGACGGGGCTACGTGGCGTGGAATCCTCCGCGCAAGCCCGATCCGCATGGAGTGATGAGTGATTGATGGGCGGAGGTGTGGTGTTAGTGGGACGCGCGGTCGTGACTCGTCCTATCAGTCAACGGGGTGTTGGGGGTTTGCTCATGAGGTCACGGGTTGGGGTACGGGACCGCGCACGAGCACGAGCCACAAGGGCTGGGATTCGTCATTCGTAGTTCACGCATTGCAGAAGCCCATGGACAGGGGGCCCCTCTCGGTAGTGTGGCATCCACCAACGTACCTCTGCCGTGTCAAACGGATGCAGTCCAGGCGCTCCTGCTGCAGAGCCGTAAATGCCAGACCAGCCAATTCCTCAGGCTGATGGGCAATCGAATGCGGTCCCAATCGATGGGAGACACCGCGGTCGCCTCCTTACCCGCAGGCGAAACGGGAAACGGCAAGGGAAACGGGGATGGAGTCGCAGTTAGAAGCAGAAACTCTCAAGTCAACGTTCAAAAGGGTGGGCCCATATGCGCCGCCTTACACGGAATGTTTGTCTTATATACAACATTACTCCCGAGTGCCGCGTCCCCTCACGTGCAGAACTCCCGGATGCAGTACAAAAGAACCTTCTCCGTCCTAGCGTACCAAACCCTGACAACCAATCCGCACCACAATCCCTGTTTGAGCCCTTCGTGCAATACTCCCGACCCCCTGGCGCACCAAGGTGACAACTCCCGGATTCGAAGGCATTACTCCCGGATAGCAGGCATTACTCCCGGATCGACGTGATTTACTCCCAGATGTCTCATGGAGGCTCCGCCGCCCACACACTTGCGTCTGAGTAAGGCGTAGATACTCCCGAGCCTCCTGACGCTGTGTTCAGAACTCCCAGCTCCAATTCCAGCGCAGAATATGTCCCGGCACATCAATCCAATCGAAGCTCACAATTAAGGTTCATTCCCAGCCTTGACGATCCACGCCCGGCCTTAACGATCCAATCCCGACCTTAACGATCCTCGCCCGGCCTTAACAATCCTACTCCCGGCCTTAACGATCCTACTCCCGGCCTTAACGATCCTACTCCCGGCCGTAGTGCTTTACTCCCGCCTTTGCTGATCCAATCCGGGAGTAAGGTGGGAGTCCCGGGAGTTGTATCCAAAGGCGCAGCCAAAGGGTGCTGGAGTTGAGAAGGGGTCTTGCTGAGGTCAGGGAGTCACCCCGCGGTTCAAGGGCTCCAAGGGATGTGGGTTGGAAGGTCATCAGTGACGGTCGCCTGGTTTGAGGGTCAACGGAACAAGGGAGTTAGTTCGTCATTCGTTACTCCATGTGCAGCACAGTCGAATACACATTCACCACAACCTAACAGAGTCAATCAGTCCCGTTCCCACGGACCGTATAAGTTCCTAATCAAAAGTAGGCGAAACTTCAGGGGTACTTAAAAATTCGCCACAGTAGCGCCCAGGTTCTTGGCGCCATACAATTACCGGCTGCACCAAATCGGTGACTTTCTGCACTAAATTGGTGACTGCTTGCGCCAACTGCCTCCAAAACTTACCTAACCTAAAATTTAAACCCTAAACCCTAAAACTCACCCTGAAACTAAACCTGACCCTAAAACTGAGGTTAGGTCACAGTGTGCACGTGACTTGGTGCAAGCAGTCACCGATTTTGTGCAGCCAGTAATATTATTTCGTTCTTGGCTGGGCACGCATTCCATGTGGTGTGCAATGTGCAGATATGCGACGCACTGGGACATCGAATCAGTGTACCACGCTTTCGTATATGTATTGTGATGTAGCATATACGTGTATATACGCACGGGTGTATGCGGTATCACCGCTCAGGAGGCGATCCCGGACGCCGTCCGGGACGGCGTCCTGGGGATGACATCCAGGAACGGGTCCTGGACGCCGTGCTCGTCAGCCCGGACGGCGTCGAACTGCCGTCCTGGCACCCCTTGGCGTGAATGTTCACCTGCACAGTTGGTGGCGTGGTCCGCAATGCGTCAGGACGCCGTCCGGGACGCCGTCCTGGCTCAGGACCCCGTCCCGGACGAGGTTCCTGGACGTCAGGATCAGGTCCTGAAAATACACCGTTCTACTAGTGTTTCAGAACAAGTCATGAGCTGTCTGTAGCTGATTAGCGGTATTATTGTGCATCGTCTCACCTCATTTTGATTTTAGTGCAATTATGTAACCCCTTAGTGTCAATGGCCTGGACCCCGCACGCCCTTCGCCTCCATTTGACGCTAAGCATACAAAATATAAAACAATGTCTTCCCTAAGGGAATGGCGAGAGCGATGTGCAAACCACGACTGTGAACACCCTGTGGATTCCGCGACGAAATGGGGAAGGACCGTCAATTGAGCCTTTGCGACGAATATAAATATTGTTTCTAAACTTGTTTATATTTTACAAGTATTGTTTCAAATTTAGAAACAGAAACTTACGCCCACATAGAATGCGTCAAGTTGGAAGCACAAATTAGGGCGGGAGCTTATGAGTAATTACGGTGGAACAGTCAAATCGGTACGGACTGCCTAGCGCCATGGTAGTCTGATATTTCGACCTGCATAGGATGCGCATTCTGGACCGCATGGGGTGGCATGTCTGGCGGGCGTGCAGTATTGGTGAGTGTCGCACAACAGCAATGCATCAATCGCTGCTTTCAATTCTCTTCTCACCTTTCCGTGGAGGTGGTAAACGCAGTTCGCCGCCTGGGGGCTGGAAGCCCACGTACGACATCGTATGTGCCCTCCCCCTCCCCTTTCCCGGTTGAGACAAAGATGGAAATTTGAGTGACGTAGGGCTACATGAAGTCTGCACGATCACGGAATTTTTCTTTCACAGCGTCCCGAATCAAAGCACGTCGAAACGCTGTAACGCAAAAGACATTGACACCTTGAGCAAAAGCCACCGCGCAAAAGTAGATGCAGAGAAGTACGCAAAGAAACGGCAACGTCAAGTGCCTTAAAAAATTGTTCTTTCCTAAGTTCCCGTTGGAATTCCCAGCACAAGAGCGGCCAAATTTGGCCCAAGTATTGCGCAACTAGTTTACACTCCAAAGACCACCTACAATGGCAGTGATTTCCGATCTAGGGCTCAAATACTCAGATCGCCACAAGGTGGTTCATCCTGCAGCCGTTTTGTCCCCACTTCCCCAAGACAACCAGTTTTCGCCATCGCCTTAGGCACGTGAAAACACCGAACTGCTGAGAAATTAGGTGTGGGCACTACATGACAAGTTGAATCGAAAGAAATCGCACATTTGCAATTGCGTCCATTGGGCTGCCTGCCAATGAGCTCTGTCCTCTACCAAGCTGCTTTCTCATCAGAAGTCGCTCATCACGGATTCTTGGCACAGTTCGCAAAGACTGTTGCCGGCGTCGTCAGCACGCCGGTTGAAAGATGCACCACACAGCGGGCTGCAATCACAACCACACAAAAGCCATTGATCTGCTTGGGTCTGCAAAGTCAGATCGTCTGCATCCATGTTGAATTGTGCATCACCATGGCATTCCTTTGTTGCAAGCGAGCAAAGCGAACAGAGCTGTATCGTATTTACACAAATGCAATCCAAGCAGCATTCAAGCGCAAACTGGCCTGTTGTAGCAGTCAGACGCACTATTGGCTTACACCCACATCCACGTCGGATTCACGTCCTGATTTTTCTATCAGTACATAACGCATCTCACAGTACAGGAGAATTCAAACGAATAGTTTCTGTGAGGGATGACTGCTATAAGGCGCGCTGAATTCTCTGCCTTGAAACAACTGCCACCTCAACACTTGTGTTCAAGGAAATAGGACTGCACTGCATGGGTGACGCATGGAGAAAACCATGAGGAAGCACGCTGCCTTGGTGACAGCAGTAGCATTCGTACATCTCAAATACATGACTGTGTGTCACTGTGCATGAACCTTGTGTACACATTGCTTCCTCCAGTTTTGCCACACTTAGACTCCTAGAGCACAATTTTCTGCCAGTAAACGAACTTTAGGCACAGTCACCAACTCCATGACAATGCGTACTTTTGGTCAGTTCTGGTCAGTTTTGGGTGTTGATCAGCCCTCTGCAGCAACTTCTCTTCCCATGGCACTGATGTTAGGAATGGCATGCCTAGCTGATACAGAAATATGGCTGCAAAGTCTTGAATCCATACGTCTCAGCTAAGACACCGGCCCTATTGAGTGGACGAACTTCCAGGTTGTGGACAAATCAGAGATTTTTGGGCTTGGAGATGGAAACATCAGGCATAGCCTCGTAAACTGATTTGCTACCAAGGGACAATGTCCTTTACTACTTTGCAAGGAAATACCAGCATTATACAGTAAAGTCAGTGAAGCACGAATTCGGATTGAGGACACATTCGTTGGAGGTAAACACAAAGAAATACTCACTCAAGCCAGAGCTGCTGCCAGTGCAGCATTCTGTCAAAAATCTGTGAGTCTGCACAGCATACAAATAGCAAAAAACACATGACAGCAATACCAGGACAGCGACAGACAATACAGGACAAATATACACCAACAGACATTAAGCTAACAAGAAAGAACATGGCAGCGAAAGCACAACAGAAACCGACAGTAAACTTGGAAATCTCACACTCAGTAGGTTGCCTTGCTGCCTGCCTGCAGGCCCTGCGCATACCATTTCATCAGCTGACCGCCACCCATCCTGCCATGCCCTGTTGGTAGATCCGAAAGCTGCCTGCCTCCTGGGTACTCTGGACCACGACCGCACATCGGCTGCACAGCCCCTGCACCCCAGACTCCTCTGCCTCCTGGTACACCAGGACCCAGCATTGCTTGTCGTGCTTGTGCAGAATGGCCATGTCCGCCTTGTTGCGGAACCATCGGCCTCGGCCCTCCAGCAGCAGATCCGCCCCTTTGCTGCTGAACCATGGGGCCTGGTCCTCTGGGAACTGATCCATGGTGCTGTTGGCGAAAAGGCATGTACCCGTTTCTGGGCCCCTTCGCCCCGGCTGACAGTCTGCCATCGAGGTGCGGCGCCTGGTGGCCAGGATTTGGTGCACCTGTCCACGGGCACCGAACATTCTCCTGTCTGCCTGCTTGACCCAACTGCCAAACCAAGCCCACACACATTTCCTGATTTCCTGCCTCTCGTGATGCAGAGCTGGCAGATAGATCTTGGTTTGGTGCGGACACAGACATTTGCTCATTTTTTGACACACGGTCACCGTCAGTGCATGCATTCCCAAGGCCATTGCAGCCCTGCCCTCTTTGAGATCCCTGCTGGGTTTCAGGTGCCTGCCTCCGAGCAGATGCCCGTGCCATCCGAGCCTGCTTCAACATGAGCGTGCCTGCTGCCTTGCTGTCCTGCCACCTTGTTTCCACAACTGCACACCTATCGCGGCCCTGCTTTGTCTGCAGATGTACACTCTGAGGATTAACGGTACCCCTGGCAACATCTCCAGCTGCACCCTGCCAAGGCACTGGAGCTGTGCTCGTTGCCTGGCAGTGGGGTGCAGATGCCCATGGGCCAGCTGGTTGGTTCTGCTGCAGATTCTGTGGCCGAGAGGCCCATGCGCCTTTGACTTTGCCAGTCTCTGCTTGTTCGCTGCTTGAGGCTGTGGCGTCCGACTTGAGGACGTCACCCTTCCACTGTCCTTCCAGGTTCCTTGTGTTTCTGTCCCTGCAATTTGTCGCTGCGTGTGATGCGCGCCCTTGCCCCTGCCCATTCCTGAAACCCTGATATGTCCCCAGTGACTTATCAGAAATTCCTGCCGGCTCATTCCATGCTGTTCCCTGTCGCATGCCAGGCACGCCGTTGCTGGCGCTTGGGCAACCAACACGAGCTTTCTGCGCAGCACCGCCAGGCACAGGTCTGCTGCAGGAGCTGTCAGTTTCCAACCTTTCAGTCACCCACCCAGGGTCCCTCCAACCAGCACATTGGATGCCACCTGCCCCTCCAATCTCTGCTCCTGTGGCTGCACTGTTGGAGCCAGTCGCAAGATGAACGGCCCCAAGCGAGGCACATGATCCTCCGCCTGTGATCCCACGTGCTGTGCAAGGTGTTACCTGGGCATTCTGTTGCCCAGGTTGCTGCACCCACAGGATGGTGTTGGTGTTAGCGCCAGCCTGTTGCTGGTTGTTCTGCGTTTGCTTGTTGCTGCTGGGGCAGGAGTGCTGTTGGGGCTGTTGCATCTGCATGCTGCTGTTGGGATGGGCAGGAGTGCAGGCGGGCCGGCGCCAGTCGGATGTGGAGGCAGGGCCTGAAAAGAAAGTGGATGGCGTGCCATCAAGGCTGGCTGACCTGTGAACATCGGGCAGCTGGTGCTGCTGGATCTGGGGTGTTGGCAGTGTTGGGAAGGGGACCTTGGGCGGCCGCCAACTCGGAGCGCCTGGAAGGCTCCCTGCAAAACATAATGGATCATCTGGCATCGCCCCTAAGTTGACAAACATTGATGGGATTTTCTGCACCCGTCTTCACCTGCAAGGGGCAAGGGCTATGTTTGTTATATTTTCTTTCTTCTAATCGTAGGTCATGGGATTTAACCACCTAATGCTGGGGCCGGCAACTGGCAATTGATGGTTAAAAGTTCTCATGTCTTTGGCAAAATGAACAATGAACGCGCCATGGACAGGCCAACATGTGTGAAAGGGTCTGCAGACCATCCAACAGGAAGTAGTATTTACTGGCTGTACTAAATCGGTGACTGTTTGCACTAAGTCACGTGCACACTAGGTCCTCACCTCAGTTGTAGGGATAGGTTTAGCTTTAGGGTGAGCTGTAGGGTCAGGGTTAGGGTAGGGTTAGGGTAGGGTTAGGTTAGGTTTTGTTTTTAGGTTTTAGGTTTTAGGGTTTAGGTTAGGTTAGTTTTGAAGGGATTCGCTGCAAGCAGTCACCGATTTGGTGCAGCCAGTAATTGTATGCCGTCCAGCAGCACTACCGGAATTCTCTTGAGCGGTGCTGTCCAAAATGTCGAGTATATTGAGAAAACTATTGATCGGGGTTGTGTCCAGAGCGTGGCATTTTTGCATGCCAGTCAGGGACACTCATGGGGAATATGTTGGCGCACAATGGAATCTGAAAAGGCCAGAAGTTAGCCAGCCCATTCTTATCATCGCTAGAACCTACTGCAAGAATATTCCTGGTCAAGAACACTCCCCATTGATTTATCTACTTGCAGCCAGCAGCACTTAGCAACCCTCACCAACAACCCTTGGACACATTCCCACCATTGAGCCATACTGATTTTACAAACTACATACACATGTTCTAATTCATCCTCCAACGTGTCTCAAATCCCACTGCTTGTACTCATGCCTCTTACACCTTGGCTGCTACAAGATTGGTTATTCCCCACAGATTGCATGAATCGAGGCGTGACATATTTCTGCCCTTGCACACAGTAGGGGACGTCAAGTGTTGCCCCTTGTCTCGCTTTTGTGGACTTTGTTAGGATCATTTCGCATTTATTTTGTTTCAGACATCTTTGCTCTCGTTTGGCACCAGGCAGACCTTGAAATCCTACCAGTATGCCATTAGAGACGAAGACGATGGTAGCACTCTAGGATACAGTCGACAAATGGGAAAAGGTACAGCTGAAGGACCGTCGTCAGGATTCAAGAACGACTATCCAAGCAAAAAAGTCGGCTGACAAGCCCAGGAGAAGCCAGGCATCGTACCTTATCAGTCTCAGTTGCTGTGGCCAATACAAGCATTTGAAGCCAACAATGCAACCAAGCAAACAGGCATGATGCAGAGGAAGCAAACAGATATCAATCATTGTTGCACATCGAATCGCTGGAGAACCCATGACCACTCCGCAATGGCCCACTGACTATGAAAGCAGCCCAACAATTGAAAAATGACAGTGTGAACGCAAACCAAATTGATCTTTTGATAAGCAATTCGCCTTGTCGACATATGATGAGCTGCTTCGTAAAGATACCTACACAACAGCTGCCTTGTGTCATCTGTGGTTGAGCGAACGTCCCATGTCAAACAACTTGATCCTGTGCCCTTTTCTTCTGTTGGCGAGGGCCGACCTTTGCCACCAGAACACAACCTGTCCTGGCCCAGATCCAAGCCATGCAAGAATTCTTTCCACTGCCCTTCATTCCAGAAAGAAGCAGCCTGCCACAACATCGCTTGTGGTGTCATCAACAAGGGATGTTCGTAGCCGCCACATCCAACATTTAGCTTGTGTCACCAGTCTAGGATTGTTGACATAATTGGCACTGCTGCTGCCGATGTATGGCATTTGCCAAGACAGCACAAAAAACTCCTCCAGACACCAACAAACGCGCTCGGGACGAGTACAGACCCAAATATCCGGTAAACTTTTAGCAACAATTCCACAAAATTACCAGTGGAAAGGGGAGAGGTCTGTGTTTCTGAGCCCCAAATCTGCCTGCCAAAATTCAGAGGCACTGTGGGCAGCAGCCCGATGGCAGTAGAGCTCAGCAGTGCATTCTGCAGCCCGAAATTAATGTGGCACAAGCAAAGCTGAAAAGCACAGCTAGGCAACTCATGCATGGTTTTCGAACAGGACACAAAATCGATGCAAACTTGGCATTCACTGAATACAATGGAACGATGGGGCGATGCCACACAGATCGGCGGATGGACGCCACATCCAGGGACGAACACTGTTGTGAGCTGAAAGTGACCTTTTTTGTTTCATGGTACTGCAGAAAATTTGGCTTTGGGTGTTGATGCAACATGTACTGAATCCTAATTGACTGATTGACACACCTCGGCAGCAGAGCGCTCCGCAGTTGGTGCATCCGATCCCTTCCTGCCAGCTGATACATCCTTGCGAGGCAGCTGCGTCGATGCACTCCCAGGAAGATGGAAAAGACCTGCCTTGGACGTCCTCAATGCAGCGCCAATCCCTTGAGGTGTGCCATTTGGCAAGTCATCCAGGATGGCATAGAACCTGTCTGCCCATTCCCCAACTCCCATGTGATCGATTTCTGGGCTGGTTGAGGGCCAATCCCTCAAAACCACCTGCAGAAACCTCCAGAGATGCGGAGTAGGTCCCCTCAGTCCAAAATCACGATGAGGATGATAGCAGATCAAAGCTGTAGAACAATTCTAGAACATAGGGGAAAGATAGTTGCAGCTCAAGGAATCCCTGAATGCCCTTTTCTTCAATATAGTTCGATGATGCCTGTGTTAAGGCGATAAGTTCGTGCTCCATCTGGAAAGAAAACGATGCATGATTTTCTTCATCATAACTTGCATCAATGCCATCATTATTGTGGGTGTGCCCAGATTGCATCACTCCCGATGCCGATTTCGTAGAAGTTTACCATTGCTCGGCCCATTCACCAAAGAGGTGTGGCAGAATCCTTCCAGACCATATCTGTTCAAAACCAGCCAAGCCGCTCCCTGGACTCCCTCGACTTGATCCTTGCAGTGCCGTCGGCGGTCTAATCTTGGGTGCCCATACTGGTTACCTCGTTGTCAGCTAGTGCTGCCCAACTTTGGCCAGCTGGGCTGCCTGGATGGCCGCAGAAGCATGCATACATTTGCACACGTTCATTTGCAGCAAGAAGCCCAACTTCGGTGTCTTCAACGGTTCCCATCCTTACTGTTCTGTAGGTGAGGCGCAAGGCTCCATGTTTTGATGGCGCTTCGGCAGGATCAACTGATTCTCTGGGTCTCAGAATCAGCCAACCGAGGAAATCTGCGGACGGGTTCAAAAACGAAGAATCGATTTCGACCCCTGCGTCTCCCATTAAACCCAGTTTCGTCGTGATCGATCCTACCTTGGCACCGCAGTCGGGATAGCTCTTTACGGGCTTTCCTTTTCTTCCTGAGGCGCGGGCGCACAAACATTGCAGGCCTTTCACCGTCGAGATTTGACGTTGTGGACTTCTTGGAGAGTCATTTGCAGGGGACTGAGGCGCGACACTCGCTGAATTCGCTACTCCGCGCAATCCGACTGGCAACAACATCTCGCCCGCAAAGCTCACAGCACCGCATTCACACGCGGTTCGCTCAAGATCCTCCATGGTCCGCTCGTCGCACCAGGTCCCCGCAGGCAAGGGGCGCGCCCCCATCCCTTCGCATCCCGGCGATCGCACCTTCCCCGCGCCGGCATCAAACGACTTCCCCTGCGTCTCCGCGCCCCTCATCCTCTTGCGGCTGGCGTCGCCGTCCAACGCCGCTCGGCGCTTGGCGGCCATCCCGATTCTTGCCCCCCGTCCCGATGCGTCAGACGCCTTCCCAAGGCGTTTCAGGAAGGCCCGAGATCCCCCAAAGTGCCCACGCGTGGTGTGGCGTTCCTCCTTTCCTTGATTCTCAAGCTGCGCTCACCCGAACGCTGGCTGGCTGTTGGCGCCCCTGGGCATGGAGCGCCAGCAACTGACCCATCTGACAATTGACTCAGTTGCGACACCGCATCCCTGCACCCCACACGCACTGTAGTCCGGTATGTACTGTATGTACCTCCATGTACTCCAGTGCTCTGCGTAATTTATGTTACCCTTGTAATCTATATACTCCATGTGGTCTATGTACTCTTTGTACTATACACTATGTACTCTTTGTACTCTATGTACTCTACGTACTCTGTGTGCTCTGCGCTGTGCTTTGTCGGTCAGCGCACGCCAAGGCACCGTTGTGAAGGTTTGCTGCACCCGTGACCCAATTCTCGGAGTTGCGAGTTGGCCCTCGCCCGGCAGCCCGGGCCAGATGGACTCGCAGCGCGGGGCGGTGGTGGGGGACCCCGACTACATCGCGGAGGGGGACAAGGTGGTGCTTGTCGTGAACAACGAGAAGCATTACTTCGAGACGCTCAAGGCGGGGAGGTGGGGCCAAGCGGCGCAAATTCGACGACTGCCGACGGCTGCGCTGCGCGCCGGGAGTTGATTTTTGGCACATGATTGGGGGCTGCGCGTTGGCCCCGCTGGATGGCAACGACCGGCCCACGAAAGCTTTTCGAGGCAGGCCGTTGAGTGGCGCCGGTGGATTGATGAAAGCTCTGGGATCAACCTGGGGTGGCATCGGGTGAAGCGCTGAACGTGCGTGGCGATGTTCGCGCTGCCTTGGTCGCTCTGCTTCAATGGTTGGTTGAGGTGATCAACCAGCGGTTTGTATTTGCTGCGTGATTGTGCTGTGAGAGGACTTGCAGGTTTCGCCTCCGCGGGAGTGTCTAGCCTGGGTGTGCTCTCCTCGTCGCTGACTGCCCTCCCCTCGCCTGGCAGCCACGTGCAAATGACATTTGATCTGCACCAAAAAGATCCCGCCTGCCGAAAATTGCTTGGCTGCGGTTCCACGAACTTGGATTCCTTCATGACAGTGTATTTCGTATGCACATATGTGCCCGCCCTCACACACGCATATCAGCGCTATATGGCGCTGATCATGGTTAGTGAGACAAAGGCAATCACAGCACAACTATCGATTGTACATTGAAACACCTGTGCAGCTCAGCACAGGTTCTGATGATGTCCAGGGTTTGCTTTGAAAACTTGCAAAACTTTTCACAATACTCACCTCGCAGCTCGTTAGGGAATATTTGCCTCTGATCTTGCTTGAGCGATTCATTTGCATTTGTCATGTTGTTATAATTTATTTTGGACAGCATCTGTCGCCCACCATGTGCAATGGCAGCCACAGGCAGTGGTTGGCAATCGCATCACAAGCCAACACTGCAACGAATTTTTGGACAATGCAGGACCAATGGATTCAGTCTTTGGAAATCTTCTGCAATTCGCTCAATGGAAAATCTCCAATGGCTAATTGTCTGATGTGATATGTGCCATCAGGAAGGTGAAGTTGGGAAACAAAACGGCCATTTTGGATGTGGTATTTGGCCACCCATATGGCAGCGTGTTTCAGTTATCATCGGAGGGAGCAGACCCAACTCGAGTGTACAAGTAAGGCCTTTCGGAGGTTCTTGAAAGGGACGTGCTTTCTCTGTCCCAAAATGCATGGTGGTGGAAGCAAAGTAGTATTGGGGAATTAAAAAGCCAAGGCAGTCTCAGATCAAGTGTGTGTGATCACAGCCTGAACAGAGCTGATAGTCCTTATATCATACATGGAGCTGCAGGGCATAACGTCGCTTGTTGCAGATTTGACTCTGCTGCATAAAAATGCAGAACAGCAGGTATTTCCAGCCTCTCAAGTCCAATGAGTAGCTTCCTTTGTGCTGATGACCATCTCGCTGTGTCATCCTAAGGGCCATGAACACTGGACAGTCAGCTGCTGTGACTGAGGGACGCAGCAACAAAGACTTGGTTGATGACAACTCTGCCCAACAGTTGACGGCACAAGACATTCAGTTGATGAAAGATTCAGGCAAAGTGAGACCTCATTGGTTGGCTTGCAGTGCTCATGTTTGAAAACACACACACACATGCACACACACCCTGCTCAACCTTCTGCATAACACTCCCTGCCTTGCATGAGGCTTTTTTGCATATGCCGTTTGTCTATACCTTGTGCGGTGGTGCACTCATCATGTCTGGAATCGTGATGAAATGTTAGTGAGTATTCAGCTCTGTGCTGAAACCTTGACAGACATCGCACCAGTGCCTGGAGTGGCAAACTGAATATTTGGTTTGTTATGCTGCTGAAATTGGGTTCGCTTCATTGATGATCCTTCCATCGCTTGTGTGATGCCCAGGAGGGCCCTGAGATCATCGACGCCCTGGTGGCCAATAGCTCAACATTCCAGGAGCGGACAGAATTCTCGCAGGACAAGTATAAGAAGAAGAAGGCAAAAAAGTACTGCCCCTACTTCACAGTGCTGCGGCCGACAGCAATGAATGTGTGTGAGGCAAGTGTCGATGCCACAGTTTTACAACCAGTGCAACCCGCAAAAACTTCGGCGCCTGGCACCCTTTTGTAATATGAGATATGTTTCATAGCAACCTGAAATTGCACTTTGATAGAGCCCAGTAAGCCCAAACTGCGGAAATGGACAGCACAGGACCCGCAAACCACCACAGGGGTGCCCAGTGGAAAACGAAAGTAAAGCCACAGACGGGCCCATGACCCACAAGTTACTCTGTTGACTGAAGAAAAGAAGACCAAAGGAAGAGACAGCTGAGCGGATGCCGCAGCACGCCAAGGAAGTGCACAACAGGCAAAAGTTCCCAAGAAGCCAAGGCAAAGATGGATTCACCATGTAGTGTGCAACATCGATGTGTCGTGGGATGGATGAACACTGCGCCACCTTTTGGTGTCGTCGTGCTCATATCTTGGCAATAATGACTCATGAGAGCCGTGTCGTTTGCAACTTCGTTTGATTTTTCATGGCGGGCTTTTGACAACGGACTTGTATCTTAGCTGTCGTGCTGCAGTATTCTGAGGTGGGTGCTGCAACAATCGCCATGTACATGCCGGTCTCATTCCCCTTTAAGAATGTGATGTTGGGCAAATATGGAGTAATCCAAGCATATCATCTTTCAGAGGCTCTCCGACTTGCAAGGGAGAGGGGTGAATGGAATTCAGTGTGGGACTGCTATGCAGCTGAACAAACAGCAGCTCCCTATGGTTCTTTTGCTTCTGCTTTGATCTGACGTTGTATTTTCCTCTGGTCTGTCCTGCTACAGGGTGTCTTTCAGTATGCTGCTGGGCAGCTGGGGTACCTGAGGCCTGACATATTGGCCATTATGCTGTGCATGGGAAACGTTGCAGCGCACAAGAAGGTTAGAAAACCCTTCCACTTGTGTTTTCTCCGTTTTTCTCTGCACACAACAGGACATTTGCCTTGTCAATGCATGGACTGAATGCCCAGGATCCGTGAAGATGGACAGTGACAAGGCTCAATTGGGGTTGGGGTGGGGAGGGTGGGGAGGGTGGGGAGGGTGGGGAGGGTGGGGAGGGTGGGGAGGGAAAAGCCACTCTGTTTAATTAGAAACTAAAAGCTCCTGATGCTGATAGCTGGAACTGTAGTGAGGTATATCAATGCATGTGGTGATATCTGTGATGTTCTGCTTAGTCCAATCTTGTGTTTGGATGGGCAGCAACACAGTTTTCAAACACCTGCCGACATCCACAAGCCTCCTCAATGTATGCAACAGCCACTGCGCTGGGTTATCTCAGTGGGTTTTGCAAATGGATAATTGGTACAGTCGATGCCCTTGCTAGCAACAGTCCCACTTCTTCTGTGCTATGTCAGTCATCTCCATCCTTTGCCATATTTCTGCAAGGACAGCAGGGGAATAATAATTTAGTGATGGTGTAATTATGATGCACTTTAATAGTAATGCATTATCGAGGACTTTAGTTAAATGGCAGGGCAAAACATCACCAAGGCAGACCTCATCAGTGCCTTCTTTCAGTGGCGAGGAGCTGGCCATTGTGCACAAGTTAGTTCTGCATTTGACCATTGCAAATTGCCAAAATATCCGTGTTAGAAGTGCACACTGCACTACAAGTTGACCAGCTTTTGTTTCACCAAACCTGTTCTGGTTCCATGTGTCACAAGTGTTCCAGTTGCCACTTGTCCAACGGTTCTGCCATCACCTGCCTCCAACCTGTCACCTGCGACTACTGTGTTGGCACTCTCCTTCAGGGCATCCAGCAATATACTATTGTGCTGCCGGCATTCAAATCAGATAAAAGGCCTTCTAAGAGAAGAGATGTGTTGCTCATTTCGATTTGATTTGCTACCAGTGTTGGATATGTTCTTTGGCTTGGATATGTCTGGGAGCAGCAGTGTGGCATGGCCTAAAGTGGAGTTGGACAGGGCAGATCAGTTGTGTTTGTGCTGGCTACTATGGAAGTGTAAAATGCTACTTTATTACACAGAATGGAAAGCAGCTCAGCTCAATCCATGCTATTTTATTAAATGCTATATTTTGTCAAAACTCGCAAGCCATGCCTGCCGAGATTTTGGAAGACGAAAGGCATGAGTCCTGCAGCATTTCTGCTCTGGACAATGTGCGTGTGATTCTCTCACAGTCATGCCTGTGCTCCAGCACTGGCAATGATGTGCAGACAAGGATACTTGTTGACGTTTTCTGGATCGAAATATTGACAGACGACACTTTTTGAATTATCACCAGCCACTGCCCTTTCAACAATGATGCATTGTCAGGCTTGACTTGAGGAGGATGAGGATTTTGGGGCAGAAAGGCTTTCATGCCAAAAAAACTGCCTGCTGCCACCAAACCCACTGCCCTTCTCCCCCTTCAAGCGGAAATTGTGATGCCAGACTCTGTTCCATGTTTACCCAAAGGTTATCTGAGATCGTCCTTCAGCTTCTGTGTTGCTCAGCCAGGTGCTGGTTGTCGACACCTGTCTGGGATTGTTGATAGGGGCAGTCAGCGAGAAGATGGGCGGATTTGGGGACATCTGTGTTGCGGACTGTGGCGGGAGGCGTCAGAAGCCAGATGCACTGAAGAAGATGCAACCGCGACATCAGAACATATATGCAGCGAAGTTGTCAGACCTGAAGGCTGCACAGGTGGGGCGGCAATACCATAGACCACCCATCCTCCCCTTGCCCTCCCTATCACCCACTGGGGTATGTGGGACTACTGTTGAGTTATTTCATTGTTCTTGTTGTTGAGCTAAATCACCAGCAGCACAACTCGCCTGCAAGGACATTTGTTCAGTGAGTTGGCATTTATTCCTTTGCATTGCCTTGGCTCACAACCATTGATTTTCCTTTTGTCACACACATGTTGCACTTTGCCAAATCCTGCAAACTCGTTCATCTGCTCCTATGCACAAGAAGCCAGTCGTGGCTGGGCCTATGGCATGATGCCCATCACCTCACACCACAGCCCCTTCCTGAGTCTCTGAAGCTCCTGCACCTGCTTGCCACAGGAAGGGGTGGATGTCAAATGCGCTGGAACGCAGTCTGACCAGCCTCCTGGCAGCTCCCAAGGTGCTGAAGCTGGGCCATCTTCTGCAGAGGCTGGTGCGGTTGAGAGGTGGAGGGAGGAGATTATGCCAGACAATGAGGGTGAGATCCCAATGGAAGATCGTGTGGAGGATACACAGTGCTCAACTGCAACAGAATCGGACAGGTACTTGTCATTTCCAATTTTCAGATCGGATGCAGCTGCTGGAGGAAAGATTGATGGCATTTGGGCCAACTGCATATCGTCTTCAAGTTTACTTGTGGTGTGCTGCCAATGGGCATGCGTTGTCTTCAAAATTTGGGAGCTTCTGCACAATGTCTTCAACTATCCACATGCAATGTTGGCAGTCCTGCCACCAATGGCTCATGAGCTGTGTGCATAACAATGCTTTTGAGGCCTAGGTTTGCGCCAATAATAGTTGTTGTGATTTGTTGCCGCTACCTCCACGGACAGTTACTCCAGCTCGAGTTGACACAGCCACCAGCAGGATTGGGAAAGCTGTGCTTCCTAGCTTTCCATTTGCAGCATCGCCATGGTGCATTGCGCAAAGCACAAAAAGGAGAGACAGACTCTATTTCTGGCAGGCCTGAAATTGTTAAGTTTATATCGATTGCAGTGTCTAGCTAGGTTTGCTTTTGCAACCTTCAGGGCAAATGGCAGAAACTTTTAAGCATTGGGGCTATGTTCTGAAGTCATGGGCTGGCACATTCACATCACTATGTCCTACAATGTCAAGCAGAACAAGATCCCCCTTCTGCACCTTAGGTTGCACGTGTCTGCTGTACACTGGGCAGTTGCATCTGTCCTGTTTCAGGTCTAAATTCCAGGATTCAGCGAGTCCTGTCTTGGCTCTTAGGTTTGGTTCTCAACCAGAGCAACTGCTGGAAGGCAGCCAACGACGGCCACGATCACAACAATTGGTAAGAACTTCCTCGTGCCTCAGGGATTGGCATGGTTTGCTGCACGTTTCAAACCCACAGTGCAGATGATTGTGTGGCTGCAGTGAAATGGCTGTACATAGACAACAACTGAGACAATTGAGACAACAATTGATAACCTGTCTCCTCCCTAAGCTTTGGCAGCCTGACTCAAACTCCATGTACCTCTACCTATTGCAGGCAATCCGTCATTCAGTTCAAGGCATACTGTTGCTGCATGTATCGGCGATGCTGGCTGTTTTATACTTCAACTTTGGAGCTAGAATGCAACACACAGGAATATGGTACCGATAAACGGCTTTCAATGCAGCCATCGCAATGGATGTCCAGAGGATAACAAAGACACACAATAGCAGGATATTCACTGGCTGGTCCGTTGTTTGCAAGGCAGCATGGCAGTGAGAGTCTGATGCTCACTGCAACATCAAATGATTGTGTGGATGATATCGCCCACCATCGCCCCCACAGTCAACGGCCAGTGGACTGCCGATCTGTAGCAAGTATAATGGAATAGGAGTTACATGGTTATTCTGCTGATCAGTACCTTTCTCAACTGGCTGCCTTCTGCCTGGTGTTGGGCAAACACTTGTCTGGTGCGTGAAATGGGGCCACCATTGCCCAACACGCAGCTAACGATCGGTGCTGACCGCCGGAGCAGCAGCCTGCCCAATTCCCATACATGGCCCTACCAGCCCACGACCGCCAACCCTCCGGTGGCCAAATTTGGCCGGCTTCTGCCACATTCCAATACCCAAGCCTTGCGGGTGCAGAATTGGGGGGAAAAACGCGAATTTTGCGCAGTTGTCTGGGAAACTGCAAATGCTGTGGTGTTGTCACCATAGGTAGCGGGGATGCAACACGCAGACAGCGCCCAGATCAACGGCTGGGCCGAGGACGGCTTCGATTCGTGCCTGGTGGCTGCCCCGCTGCACCACACCTCCTCACTGATGCAGCAGTTGATGCCATTGCTGAAGCCCAGCGCCCCTTTTGCCGCGTCATCTCCATATCTGCACGCCCTCGTTGAGTGCCGCGACGACCTCCTGAGGGGCAGAATGGCAGCCATGGTTGAGGTGCAAGAGTCCTTCTGGAGGGAGTACCAGGTGGGCGGCTGTTTGTGTTTTGTGCAGGGTTGTTCAGGGTATTTTTTTGTGGGGGTGGGGTAGGGTATTTTAGCGTTTTAAGGAGACAGGTATGTTGTTTTTGGATAGCCAATTGTCGATCGCAGTTGATGCGGCCGGCTTCGATTCAGCTGTGGGCTCGAGTGGGGAGGGTGGTTCAGTAGCTCGGCATCTGATTGGGATCAGGCCCAGCCGAAGCGATCTGGTGTCTAACGTGACTGCATGTCTCGAGTCGTGCGGAAATTTGGCATCATCATCATCAATGGAACCATCTTTGATTGATTTAAAAACCTACAAGAGGCGATTGGAGGGTGTGTGGAAATGGCGAATTGTGGCTGTGGAATGTCCAGCGCATTTCATTCGTTGGAGCATGCGGAGCAAGGGCCCGCCGTCGATATCTGTGCATCGCACTGTCTGTGTGTGGCTCAGGTTGAGGTGAATTGATGGCCCATCATCTTGCAGATGGCCGATGGCCAAGGGGGCACATTTCCAAGTTTCACGCCCGCTCATGCAGGTCGCCTGCAGGCATGCTCTCAGGCTTTGGGGCTGCACATTGCGCGCTTCCCATCTGCACTGCAGGGCTTGCGATACAAAGGAGACGAACAGCGTTTTCTTTTGCATGAGGGGCATGCCCACTGACTGGCATTTTGTCCAGGAGATGCCCATTCATTGCGCTTGTCCACATTATGGCCAAAACTGTAGTTTGATTGTTGCTCTTAAGTTCGTGAGAGGAATTTGAATAAGGAAGCACCATCCTCACAAGGCAATAGTCAGCTGAATCGATTTTCTTTTGCGCAGGTGCTACCCGAACGGACGCACCCTCAGATGGACAGCAAGGGGCCTGGCGCGTACCTGCTTTCTGGCGTGAAGATCATCTTTTCCGACCCGCCGCCCGGCAGTGCCCCAAACGGCGCTCGAGCGCACAGGGGAGGCAAAGGGGGTAGAGGCAAGAGGCAGCGCAGATGACTCCAGCATGCAGTCCAAACGGGCCCAGGGTACCGGCAGTCGAAAGTCCATGCATTGAAGGTGCAAGCGGCTGGCAAGACGGTGGACGTTCGTCCCACAAAATGAATTTGTGGCAATCTCTAATCTCGCCGTTTGGCGAAACTGTTGACGGAGCTGTGCCCCCCTTATGCTGTTGCCCAACCTTCCCTGCGCCAGGGCAGGACCGTGGTCGCCGTTTGGGTCAGGGATATGTAACCAGAGGGATGGTGGAGCAGTCTAGGTGGAGCCACCAACAGCAGCTGCAAATGCGCCCGAGTTCTTAGTTCTGGAGTTTCGCAAATGTTTGGACAAATATTCAAGCGAATGTTGAACATTCCGGCAGGTATTCGCACGAGTACGATGTTGCGATTCAATTGTGCCGCACCACAATCGCGGGGCGCCGCAATGCACTGCAGCGCTCCAGCAGCACAGGCACCGGCGACTTTTCCGAGGCCGAGTTGAACCCGTGTTCTTGTGGCGTGTTGCATCGACGCATGACGGGCACATTGTGCTTCAGTAAATGCTCAATTCAGTGCCTACTGCTTGAACACAGCCATGAGGGCGAAACGGACAGTATTCCCACACCCCTGGCTCGTTTGTATTGCTTCCTTTTCATGATGGCGTGGACATGGCGTAATGGCACGACTTCCATGGCATGATGGCATGATCGCGGCGAGGTCCGTTTGCGACGATGTGGTGAAAATGCAGCGCTGCATTTTCATCACATCGTCACGCAGGTGAACCCCAGTTGCTTGGTTGCAAGGCGCCTAGGTCGTTTTGGACACAGTTTACTGCACGAGATCTTGATCCATGGCCCATGGCTCAGGGGCCTGTCTGCGCCACACGAAGCCACGGGCCTTGAGTGCCACCCGCTTATGAACATCCATCGCCCTTTCCACCGTAGTCCGCACCTACCATCGCATTGGCTCGTCGCCAAACCGAAGAAAAAAAATCCAAATAAACAAATAAACAATAAACCATCCAATTTTCGCCACGAGAACATGAGTCCCAATGGCACAATGCAGCCGGCATCAGGGGGGGTAACATCGGCGCTGTGCGGTCTCTGCTGAAACAGCGCGTTCTTCGGTAGTAGTTCGGTTTTGAAAGTTGGGGCGAGCGAGCTACTAAAGCGCTTGCATTCAGCAAGGACATCACAGCCCCGACTGGCTGCTGCGTAAGTACCCCTGGACGCATGGCCTTGCAGGAACGTCGGGCCTCTCATCCCAGAGCGCCTCTTTAAATGTGCCACATGGGGTCCCCCCCCCCCCTTGACTGGCAACGTTCCGGGCCCCGTCGGATGTGGCAACGGGGCACCCAGCACATCTCGAAGACGCCATCCGCTGGACGTCCCAAGCTCAAGGCCTCTCGAATGCCGTGTCTTGGCAGCAACTCGCAACTCGTGGTTGGGTGGGTTGCTGCAATATCTTGGGTTCTCATCGAATTCGTCGTGGACGCTGCTTTTCTCCGTCGAACTCGGGAGCCGATGGCCGCCTTCCCGCCTTCAGATGTAAGATCTCTTGGCGATGAACCCCGCGCCTCCCCATCCGCCCTCCCCAGCCCCCCCAAGTGTGAGCCCCAATACGCAACAAAGCGCCCGACAGACCAACCCCAACCCGCGTCCGCCTCACCCGCCCTTCGCCACCCCCATACTCACCCGCAATACAGCGCTGAAGCCGAAGCAGGCCCTATAGCCCCAGCAACGCGTCACGCCCGTCGCGTCACTCCATCACCGCTGAATCATCACTCTCCATGGCCCGCTTGGCCGCTTGGGGGACTCCTCCCGCTTCCCTCAATCTTCCCTCGAGTTGACCCCTACCCGTCAAATAGCCACCCACCCCTCGCTCCCAGCACCCGTGAAGCCCCCACCCCCACCCTCCCCCAGCACCCATTAACCTGCCAACCCCAAAAATTCGGCGCGTCCCACAAAACCTCCCCCCCGCACCCCTCCCCCCCCCCGGGGCGGGCGTTCTTGTTCCGTCGGTGGCTCGAAGGCCGGCCGCCCCGCCCGCCCCCTCGCCTGCCCCTCCTGCCCTGCCTGCCCCTTCGCCTTCGGCTTCGATCCGCGCCCGCCCCCGGGATCGCGCGACCGTGCGAGCCAGGTCGTCGCCGCGGCGAGCCAGGACAGGCCGGGCCACCCCGGGCGCCGGCCGGGGGGAGTAGAGCGGATGCTGTGCCACGGCGTGATGGACTGCATGATGGACGCCCCCGAGGGGCTCCTCCCGTGCACTGCCGGCGGCGGGGATCCGCGCTGGGGCGCCCGCGGCGGGCGGGAGGCGCGCAGCGATCAGGTGCTGGTGGTCGGTCGCCTGCCCCCCACCCCCACCCCACCCCACCCCGCTCTGCCGCCATCCTGCTCTCGTTGCCCGCGGGGAAGGACCGAGGATGCGGAGCGGAGGATTTTTTGAATCTGTCTGTTGTCCCCGGGCCGGCGGTGGCGGGAAGCCGCCCGCGGGCTGCCCGCGCTTTTGGGGCAGGATGCCAACGGGGCCGCCCGCCGGGCGTCCGAGGGGGGGATGATGCCGCCCGCGGGGCCGCCGTCGGCGCCGGCCGCCCTTCGAGAATCCGTCCAAGGTTGGGCGAGAGGAGGGAAGGGTGGGGAGGCTAGGGAAGGGGGGGAGCGGATTCAGCATCCGTGCCGGCCGCGGCGAACGGCCGCGGCCGCGGCGCTTTGAGGCGCCCCGGGGATCGCCGTCGTCGATCCGCGCCCGGGCGGGCGAGCCAGAAACGCGATTCTGTTGTGTGTTGGATCGCGCCGAAGGGGGGGGAACCTCCCCTGGGCTTGGAAGGAATCAAATCCAAGACCTTACCCCAGCACAATACGTGCCCCCCGTTGCGCGTCGCGCGTCCCCTCCCCAGTCTGCGCAGAGGATCGTCACCATCTTCGCGCTGACACCGCGTACCCCTCCCCCACCCCCACCCCCCCTTTTGTACTTCCCTCCTGGCTGACTGCGCCACCGCATGACAGGTGGGCCTGGCGGACGAGAAGGAGTGGAAGCGCCTGTGGCGCATCATGCGCCTCAGTGACGGCAGGGCGGCGCACGAGGACGTGGACATGGACGATGCCCCCCTGGAGCCCTGCGCGGAGGCCGCCCAGGCGGGAGGTGGGCGGAGTGGGGGGGGAGGGACGAAGGGTGGGAGGTTCAGGGGCCGCGCTTCCCAGTCCGACGTGCGGCTGTCGGACGGACGTGGCTAGCAAAGATCTGGGGGGCCGTGGTACGGCGGCTGCCGTTGGGTCTGTCTGGGGGGCGCGTCACACGTTCTGCTTGGCCCATTTTGCACGACACTTGATGAGAGAAGCAGCAAGGACTGCAAACTCTGACTGCGGGTGGTCATGACTGCAAATCTTGGCTGGAAAATGGGTGGGGCGAGGGACTGACGTGGGAGCGCGAATCCTGGTGGGGAAGTGCGTGCGCCCGGCGGTCGGGCGAGGCAGGGAAGTGTGGGTGTGCGTGTGCCGACTTGAGATTTTTGGCGTCGCGCCCGGGGCGGGACGGAAGTCGAGTCGCCGGTCGGTGTGCCGAACAGGACAGCGGGCCGCCAATTGCACATTCCACGAGACTGAGAAATCAGCGTCCCCTATGCTCGATTGAGCGTCGCATGTGCACGGTGTTTTGTCCGCGTCTGAAGGGCGTTGCATCGCAACACCATTTGAAGGGCGGACAACTCAATACTCGTTGCCGAGAGTCGTGAGCTGTCTGGCAGCTAGTTTATCCTGGACCCCAAGCTGATCACCAAGAGCTTACACTCTCTGCAAGAACGCTGTTCTATCCAGCAATCAGTTGGTCAAATTAAATCGTTTTTAACCCGAATTTTGTTGCCGGCGAGATGCGAATAGCTGCGGCCAGATACACAGACTACCCGGCGGCTGTGTGTCCAACCACGCTTCCTTGAGCTCACTGGTCTATTGTTTGTGGATGTGTGGTCAGATCGGCCCAGACCCTCTCCTGTTGCTTTTCAGCAAATGCTCTAACCCCGGCCTCCTGGATGCACACGTGCAAAAAGTTGTCATCCCCCCTTTACACAATGTGTGTATGGCACAATGTCAATATGTTGTCTGTATATGCGCCCTCGCCAGAAAGACATTGAAACAGGTCTCATGAAGTGATTAGACTCAGGTGAAGGGCGCCAAGAATACGTGTACTCAGGCGCAATCAGGCTCAGCGTTTGGTGTGTTGACCTGTTTCTCGAATCGATTCAAGTTGTTCCACAAACCAGACTCGAGAAAAGAACTTGCATTAGTTTGTTTCATTTTACACATCGTTTGTTGTTATTTTTCAGTCCTCGATGCTAACATCACACTGTTGCGATGAAAGTCGCGCACACACGAAACCAACACTGTCCCAGGTAATGCAATCACGGGAACGTATTCCTTTCGTTATTCTTCTTTTTCTTTTTTTATTGGGGGTGGGGGTGGGGAGAATTCTGCCTTACGCACTGTTTGTACTCTTGTTTGGGGTGATCTTGCACACAACTGCGAATCTGACCGATTGATTGGTTGGCTGGCAGGCTTCCACGCCCACTTTGACGTCCTGCCGGTCCACACGCCCGGGCAGGTGCTGGGCACGATGGAGGAGGCCCACATGTGCAGCCGACGCTGGGCGCCGCTGGGCGGGTTGGAGGCCATGCACAAGCGGGGGATCGAGAGGGTGGACGACGCGGATGGCGCGGCAGCCAGGCCGAAGCGCCCCCGCGTCCGGGGTCCGGGGTGGGCTTTCTGAATCGATTCAGAATCGATGTCGGGGGACGGCCTGACACGATTCGGGGGGCCAATCCTAATAGGATTGGGGGCCAGTCCTAATAGGACTCGAAGTTCTGCCCTAATAGGATTCGGGGGCCAGTCCTAATGGGATTTGGGGGCCGGTCCTGATAGGATTCGGGGGCCGGTCCTAATAGGATTCGGGGGCCGGTCCTAATAGGATAGAGCGCTCGGGAATCGAACTGGAAAACGGCGTGGGGTGGGGGGGCGTGGGAGGAGATGCGAATCCGGTGGGCGGCACGAATTCACGACACATAAATTTGAAGGGGCGTGGTGCCCGGGAGTTGTACTAGTTATACGTCAAGGGGCGGCAAATTGTAGGACCTATTCGGCGAGGCCGAGGAACCCGCGGGGTCGCACAGAGCTGTGGGAGGAACTCATAGGAGGGGCGTCGGATGCGTGCGAGCTGCCGTTGCGTTCTCTCGGCTTGGGCTGCCGGCCTTGGTGGGCGGCCCCAGGAGGCCCCACCGGAAGGGGAGAGCGGAAATAACGTAAACAGGAGCTTCTCTGTATTGTGCGATTGCGGATGACAACCTCTGAACACGACGTGTAATTCTGTGATTGTATGCGCATCGAGTCGGCCTTTCGAAGGCCTTGGCAGTGCGATGCGTGACGGCCCCCCAATTCGCACATAGTGTGTACTGAAACATATCATGCAACATACGTACATGATATGGCAACCAGCACTTGAAACTATGAGGTGTTGCGTGCGATGTGATGTGTAAGGAGCTTCCGAAGTGTCACATAAACCCGCTTACCAAGGCCAATTTATCCGGCGCACGCTATACTGCAGGACTTAAGGAGCCCGCAGGCCCACAGACAGTTCTTTTTGCGTGAGGGTGGATTGCCTGACGCCGGCACGAGCTCGTGCATCAAGATCAAGAGCGCGGGCTGTTTCATACATCGCGAAGGTCGTTCTGGCCCCTACCTGGCCGTTTCGGTGCTATTGCGCAATATCTAGTGTTCGCGCTCTCACAACCTCCTGGGCCCGTGGCGTCTGTTGCGTTCTAGACGCGCCCTGATCAAAACTTGCAGCAAATTTTTTGACAAACGATTTGAGCCAAACGCAGAAGCATGGCCGTGCTATGTCAAATCCCATTCTGAAAAAACTGATGCACGGGAATGTCTCCCAACGACCACCATGGAAATAAACATCATTCAGAGGAATATTGTGAATTAATGGTGTGTTGCCTGTTCTCCTGCGACGGCCTCTGACCTTTGAAGCACTTGGCACCAAGAGAGGATGGGCAGAGCGGTCTGGGCAACTCCATCGCTATCGCTGAAGTCCCTGACATTGCCCTGGAAATTTCACAAGAATATTCCAAAATTGAAAAGAACGACAAATGCCGAAATTTGGACGCCCCTCAAGCAGAATCCACTGGTGAGGACGGCACAAGAAAATTAAGTTACGACCGCATGATTTTAGAGCACCGAAACTTTCCCGTGCACTCTGAAGAGAGTCCCTGGAAAACCGCTAAGGCTGAACAGCCCTTGGGCTGGAACACCGCTTCGGGGTAAATGGACGCAAGGCCAAACTACTGAGCACTTGTTCTTGTCCCCACTGACCACACAAGGGTGTTCTGGGCGTTCCAAACCACCAGAATGCCTTGAGAGAGCATTTGGTGAGGCTCGGCCACTTTACCAGCTCCCTCGACTGCCCGAAAATATCTGGACCATGCTGAAGGGCCGGGGGTATGTCTGACAATATTGAGAAATCACAGATTTCTGCTTTTGTGATTTCCGTCGAATTGATAGACCATTGCGGTCCCTGTACGAACGGCTGTTACTACTGTTGCAACTACTCAAAATTGGCACATACAGATCAGGCATCCTTCAGGAATTGTACAGACGCCCAGAGCTCTCCTTATCTGGATACGTACCCTTGAGCACAGTAGAACGAATACGTGTTTTGCGCAGTCGAACGAATACAGTGCTGATTTGAATTGCGTCATTGCATCCTCTTCTCTGTTTGTTGGCCCTTCTTCTCTGTTTGCGGCCTGCCTTTCCAGTCCTGCCAATGCAACTGTCTGCATGCAAGTCGCCTTTCAACTGAGGTTTGGAAGGCCGCCATCAATTTCAGGTGTGCGCCATGCGGAACCACTGATGCCATCAACGAACCCCAATTGATTGCCATCTGAAGCAATTCGGTTCATTATCAGGCGTGAGCAAAATTCGATGACCGGAAATCAAGGGAACAGGGGGCTTTAGACTTGCCGCTTAGCATGACAAGCAGCAAGGCAAGCCCCTGTGTCGAAACTATCCCTGCCCATTAGCACAAAGAGCGCTCTTCTTGGTGAGGTTAAAGCCAGCTTCAGCATTGCCACTTCGCATGACAAGCAGCAAAGCAAGCCTCTGCATCGAAGCTATCATCGTCCATTGGCACAAAAGAAATGGTGACCAGCCTCATCGTTTGTGCTGCCCAATATCGGACCGTATCTATACGGCACGTGGCGAACATGCGCTCCCAGATTTTCTTCAATATTTCTGGCGTCCCACCTCCCGCATTTTCCAAGCAGACTCATTTGGCTGGGTCCGCAGACGCGGTGCACTCCAACTGCTGCAACACCAGCGGAAGCGACTCGCAGGCCACCGAGTCCGCATCCCTTTGCGGCAGGCTGGGGTCGCCACTTCGAGGCGCCTCCGCGGTTCGCTTGCGGCCCATCAATTCCTCGAGTTCGGCAATTTGACCCTCTGTTTGGCATGCAGCTCCGCGGGGGCACCTGATTTTGTCCTTCAGTCCTGCGACCCCCAGGCATCCGCACGGATCGTCCATGGTGTTGCCGCCTTCGAAGCCGATGGCTGGGTCCGCGCCCATCGACAGGAGAAACCTCACGCCACCGATGTTTCCGTAGTAAGCGGCGAATGCGATCGGCGGCGTGCCAAGATCCGTTGTTGAGTTTACGTCGACACCCTGTGTACACAAGATTGCATATTGTTTCAGTGTGGTGGAATGCAGATTTCTTCAGTGAGACAGAAGTACTGTGCATTTGATGGCATCAGCGGGGATTTTCCGCATAATGGGTCATGCCACACTTGGCCAAACATACGATTGTCTCGAGGGCAAGGATGCCGCACACTCAGGGGCGCCGAAAACCGTGGTGGTGGGCTTTCTTCCGTTTTATTTCACAGGAGTACCCGCCAGCCAATTGCATGGGGGCTAACATTGCTCGGTACAAGTCTCCCCACACTGACGCCATGGTTCCCGAAAATCTACTGGTGGCCACCGCACCAAACATGGCGCACGAGCTTGCAAGACAAGGGTCCCATCAGGATTCCATGCATGCCTTCGAATACAAAGATAGGCACCGATAGTGTACATATCCCTGCACTAGATCAAATGGACTTCTACATTGGGCAATGGTACACATCATAAGTGCCATGAAATGCACGCATGTTTCGTGCCTCAGACATGAACACTGGAGCGCAGTCTTCCTTGTTAAGTTAGAGGTGAGTTTCGATGTTATTGTCGGCTATATGTTGCGTTTGCTCCTTCCCACCAGCATTGGTGATGTTGGTCGTGCATGGCGGAATATTTGCCCAGGCATCTTTGCCGATATTGTGTGGCAACGATCATTACGTCAGAGAACTGAGCAATGGCCGACCCTGGCGACAAAGATGACACATATCACAGTGCTATAGGGGCCCGATCACCATTCAGATGTTCGTTCAGTTGATGCACACTTTATATGTGCGCTTAGTGGGCGTGGGATCCGGTCGGTACGCAACCACGAAAGGTCGGCTGACACCCGCCTCTCGCTGAGGGGACACTCACAGACATCCACAGACATTTGAACCATGTAAATGTACTTATAGTTAATTACCTGTAAGTACATTTACATGGCAAATATCTGTGTATGTCTGTGAGCGTAATTAATTACTGATTGTTTAGTTGACTGTTTGTTTAATTGTTTGATTGATTTATTTATTGATTGACTTGCGGGTTAGTTGATCGATGGGTAGTGCCAAAAGAGTCTGTCGGCCCACCTCTTCAATCAGCATGCGCATTATCTGTTCCGTGCCGATTTCCGTGGCCGCGAAATGCAGAGGGTTCCTTCGATACTTGTCCACAATGGACGCGTCAGCTCCTCCGTCCAGCAGCGCGCGCACGGCGCCCGCGTGTCCGTACTGGGCGGCCCTCATCAGGGCGGTCCCCCCGGTGTTCGTCTTGATGTCCAAATTCGCCCCTGCGTCGATCAACACCTGGGTCGACTCCAGATAGCCTTTTTTGGAAGTATAATACAGTGCAGTGTGTCCCGTGCGCGACCGCGCATTAAGGTCTGCGCCCCCCCTTGCTAGCGCCTGGATGGCGGCCGCGTGACCCCAAAACGCCGCAAGCCTGAGAGCCGTCCAGCCCACGAAGTCCCTGGCCTCTGTGTAGGCGCCCTCTCCGAGGAGCACTTGCACGATGTCGGCTAGGCCTCTCGCCGCCGCGATGTGGAGGGGCGGCTCGAGGTCCTTGGAGGGATCCGATCCGTTTACGTTGGACCCATCTTCTATGAATTTCAACACCTCCTCCAGGTCTCCCGCAGCCACTGCGTCTTCCAGCGTCTGCGCAAATTCTTAGGAAACCATAAGCATGCACGCACACGGTACCCAAATGTCGTGGCACAAAGATAAGTTTCTGTCCTTTCAGCGCATTAAAATGCTCAAGTATAAAAAAATACAGCAATTTTAAAGTGCCTCACATGGTCTCATTAACTATTGTCATTGCGTAGAAGTAGAAATTTTTCGTTGGGTAAAACGCTATGAACTCAGCCTGTGGGCAGTACGGGGCGATGTACTAAATGCAATTGTTTGTCTGAGGTTTCGTCTTTTTCCCGTTTTAAAGTGCATCTGCCGCATCTACGGAATTTCAAATGTCGCATGTCATACATATGTATTCTGTTGGGCGCCGAAAAGTCACAAGTGCATCCAACACACTTCAGTAATTTGCATTTGTTCACGGGGAAAGCGGAAGCTTTGCACTGAAGATCCACGCCAGGCCTAGTCTGAGTTGGCGAAGCAGCTCGAATAAAACTTTCTGCATCAAATGAGAAAAGGTTGTACACGTTGCGAGCGACCGCTTCAGAATTGGTGCTATGAACTCCTCAGTGCCTCAGTGCTCCAATACCAACACAACACATCGCTGAATGGCAACAGTGACAATGCATAAACACGAGATTGGTGTGTGCAAATATGTGCTATGTAGTATGACATGCACCTCACGGAGCACTCAAGGAAGATTTGTGCAAACATGAAAGTATCCAACGTTTGCAATAGCGTAGAAGCTTCATTTTGTTGCTGATCGAAATACTAACTCCGTCCCAAAAGTCGCGTCCGTTCACCAATTTGTTGCTGCAACTTTGAAGACCAACTCATTCAGCCACCAGATTCGGATTTCTTGGTCGATCTGGGGTTGCGATGGACTTTGATTGTGTCATAGCCATAAAACATGGCATTCACGGCCTTACTGAAAATTAGCCTGTCCAATTCCATGCTGGTCCTCAATTCCACGCATTGTTGCGTTGGTCTTATTCCCATATAGTATTTACGCGGTATTAGTACCCCCCTCACCCACCCCCCACCCCCTTTGGGGGTCTAAAACAAGTTAGTATCCACCTCAATGTTAGTATCCACCTCCAAGCCTCAACAGAAACGATCCCAAGAGGCAATGATCAACTACGGCTCCCTTGGCCAGAATTTGCCCCCGTGCTATACTTGTATACTGTCTTAGTCTCTGAAGAGGCGGAATCACATGCCGCTTCAATTGCAAGAGGAAATGACACCAGAAAGTAAAATATAGTACTAAAACAAGTCCAATAAATTCATACCACTTCTCCTAAACAAATGCATGCAGCAGTGCAAATTTTTGCCGGAGAATTGGGCGACACAAAAACGTTTGCGACAACGCTTCAGCTCACCCGATTGCCCCCGTGTCTGGCGAAGAGCCCCTCGACTTCAAGCACATCTGCCTTGGTGCGACAGTGCCCAGGTGGGCACCCCCTTTCTGACGAGTCAGTCTCGACATCTATGCAGCCACACACGGGAACACCGTGCAGGGATGGATCCGCCCCCTGAAAGCGAGTGCACATAGATGTGGCGGGCATGGGAAAGGATTTCATCGCGCAATCCAAGGAGAATGCACGCTAGGTGAATTGGAAGAAGAAAGACTTCCACATGCAGTCGGCAGCCTGTGCCTACAAGCTCAAAATCGCCGTCCTGTCTGAATAATTCTTCGATAATGTTTCGTTTCAAAAAGCCAGTAAAACCAAAGTTACAGCCAACAGCCTGCTGGTTCACTGGTGCACATCGCCTTGAAACGGCACCTCTCCACTTGCGCGAATAAAATGATTGAATGTCCCATCTTTTATAGCTGATGTCATCGGCACTGATCAGAAAGAAAACGGGGAGCCGACCACTGCAAGTAAGCCAGAAAACATACCTAGCGCAGGAGTTTATATGGCTTGGCAGACAGCATACTTCAGTGCATCGATTAATTGAAACAAATCACCAAATGATGTCCGTGTGCGTGGCCATGCGCGACCTCTTGTTATTACCAGGTTAACGTCGCTCACTACCAAATGGATACAATGATACAACTGCTGAACAAAACTGAATAGTGTTGCATACAGAAAGAGACACTCTTCCCAGCAACGAAGTTCGCAACGTGCATCAGACGATGTCGGCCATCTCACCTCAGTCAGAAGAAATTGAACATTCATCTTATTTCCGTATCTGGCAGCTTCATTGGCAGGTGTGGCGCCAAACTCAGACATTTTGTCAAGCCTTATCCCCTCATCGAGCAACAGTTGCATGACCCGCTCGTTCTGGGGGAACTGCGCAGCGCGGTGCAGCGCCCCCAAGTCATAGAAGGCCAGGGCAGATGTGCGCCCTCCATGGCGAATGAGCTCGGAAAGCGCCCCGTCTTGTCCGTTCCACGCCGCAGTCAGGAGGGGAGTGTTGCCGTTTGAGAAGTCTTGGGCCTCGATGTCGGCGCCGGCGTCGAGAAGTAGCTGGACGCCAAAAAAATCCATTGTCATTGCGGAAAAGGCGGCTGAATGAATGAAATCACGGTCCTGTTGAGTCCGAAGAAAGCCGCACGAAATGCCGCCCGTCCACGGTCGCTCAAGACGACGCAGGAACAAACGGAAGTCTCTCTGTACATAGCAAAATGGACCAGAGTATGCAGGCACACATTGGCACACATGTGCCAGTGTGTGCCTGCATACTCTGGTTCATTTTTTTGTTCATTCAAAAGCGATCGCTGTTGAAAAAACACACGCTCGAAATAAAATACATGATGTTTTGTCGATGGGGATTGTGTGCGTCACGTCGATGTCCACGTATCCTCAAGCGCGAAAATTCCTTGGACAATGGTCAAAAATGACATGAGACTTCACTAGCACATGGTACCCAGGTTTTGGTCGGCGAATCCCATAACTGCCCATTCCGCTACGTATATTTTTGGCCAAGCATCTGAAGACCCCTTCATGCACCTCAATGCTCCCATATTCAACTTTATGTTTAAATGTAGTCCATGGATTTCGGTGATGATATTCAACTTTACGAACAGCCGAAGGCCTCGTTACAAGCTACATCAGCGCGCAGAAAGGGTTGAACATGCGCACCAACACATGCCTGAATTAACTTAACCGACCCGTAGGCGGCCGCCTCGTGCAGTGGAGTTGAAGAACCAGCTGTCCTGGCGTCCACATCCGCCCCCCTCTCGACCAACAGTTCCGCAATGCGCTCCAGCCCCAGGGTTGCCGCGTGAACCAGGGGCGTCCACCTCTTTCTGTCCAATCCGTCCACTTTGGCCCCGGCATCCAGCAGTACCCTCACTGATTCGATGCTTTCTTCGCGAACTGCAATGATCAGCGCGGTGTCTCCGTCAACATTAATGATCTCACTGTCTGCTCCCGCCTGCATTGGAACAAAACATGCGACATTCAACATTGATTCTTCGTTTCCAGACACCGTGAATGAGTATTGCCAGCAGAAGTCACGCCTGATACAGTGCCATCAATATCAACACGAGCCACTGCAGAGCATCCATCCCATGGAAACATATGTGAGCTTTCACAGAGTTCATGTAATTGACCAGCACCTGCTTCTAAAGTCCAACCTCTACCCACGCGCACCAACTCCAACATACCTGTGTAAGGAATCTCAGTGCTCCCACTTCGCCGACAAGAGTAGCTACAGTCAAAGGTGTTTGACCACCTTGCCCCTGCTTATCGATGTCAGCTCCGCTATCCAAAAGCAACCTGCCGATCAGCAACAAGACGCCCAATTAGCACCCCATGCGCATGTGCGATTGCACGACATGCATTAATGGATCTAAATCACCTGGAAAGCGAAAAATCGCCCAAAACGAGCATCGATGTAGCCGCAAATCTTACGATAAGCGCGTTTTGAAGCATCACCGGAAAAAATCATGGCGAAAGGAAAGAACTGGCACTGAGCCACTGCACACCCCACGCATCTGAGACGTGGTCCTCATTGCGATCCTTGACTGCGATTGCGGGATGTTTCCTGTACTCAAGTCTTCCATTAGCTATCGCATTGCTAGGTGTTGTTGCAGTTAGAACTGGTTGTGTATTTCTGATAGGTGAACGCATGAAAGATGATGAACCACTAGGAATTGCATTAAAGACGTTGATGAACGGGCTGAAATGAAAGGACACAACTCCTGTTGTCCTTTTGACTCGGCTGCAAACCGTTGCCGCGGACTCGAGCGTGCAATTCCCATTCAGCGATCGCCACCCCTCGATTCTGCCTGCCTTCGTCAGTGAGAATTGAGATCATTTTTATGAAGCGCATTGATGGAAATTTACGAGGGCGTTCGGTAGGAAAACCCAAACAGAATAGGGCGTTCCCACGTGGCACCGAACATACCGCACTGTATCATCTGCCCTATTTTCAGGGGCGTCTGCAGCTGCGACAGCGAGTCAGGAGCGGGGCTCCAGGGGGTTTGTCATTCACCATCATTTCGTGATGTAAATGGAATGGCTCCATTCAATGGCATGAGGACAAAAGTCCCAATCGCCTGCGACGTAGCATCAAGGGTTTGGAAGGATGGTTGTGCGTCAGCAGCGTCGGCGAGATTTGTCGCAAGGGGGCATGGGGAGGTCCGTCGGTGCCGTCAGCGCCGCAGACAAAGCTCCCATTTCCCCACCGACGCCACGTGCCAAGGGGCTGCGACGCAACAGCCCCCTGCGGCGCGGGAATGGGCTGAAGTCGCAGGCGGTTGGCCTTCCACTGGGTATGAACGACGCCAAATTAGTGTGGCAAAGCTAGCCGAGAGCTACCTATGGACTGTAAATGCCCCCCAAAAAATAGACAACAACCACTGAGCAAAAAACAGCTTTTTATGTTTATACATGTCTCCGAGGACCGCACCAGTATTCGCTGCCCTCATAAGTCTTCGAACAATCCAACCCACTCACAAACTGGACTGCATGCATGTGTAGGTGTTTTTCCCCCCAGAAGCTTGGGTGTCACATTGCTTGGGGCAACAAAGTGTTTCCATTGACGACTCCAGGATGGATCAATACTACTTCCTCCATCCCAGATTAATTGTCGTATATTTAAGAGGCTAAATTTATTATACAAACAGCCTCAGAATTTTAAAACAAGGTCGAAATTGAAAAGATTGCATCTCAAAACCCTTGACTATCAATTTTCAAGAAGGAAAAGTGGGACATGACCCTTTTCAGCGCAAGGCGAATATAAATTTGGGTTATTTTTGAACCCAAATATTGAGATTTACTATGTAAAATGACCGTTGATATAAAGTACTGCCAAATTCTCAATACTTAATGAATTGACTTGAAATTTTTAGGGTATGCTCCCAACTCAAAAACGTAATTGTAGGCGAAATTTTATTGAAAAAATGTGCGGTTATGATAGAGAAATAATGACCCAAAGTTATAGACGACAATTAATCTGGGACGGAGGAAGGAAAGCGAAGCCCGGGAGCAAATAAGAGCTGTGAATGATGGAATCTGATGCATGAATAGGGGAATTGGACACAAGTGTACACTAAATGCCACACGTCGACGCATCGAAGAAAACATTTTCAGGAACGGATAGCTGCATTCACAGCAGGAACAAGTGGCACATTTGTCACTGTAGATGATAACGCACATAGCAAAACTCTAGAGGTCTTCTATGCACGTGTCCGTATAAAGAACTCTAGGTGATGGTAAGTATTCTCAACTGTGGGCATCGGCAACCTCACACCCTACTACAAATAAGCCCTCCTTCCCTCCGATTTGCACCTCATGGCACCGAGATGGCCATTTTCCGCTGCGATAATCAATGGCGTATTCCCCTCGCCGTTCACGGTGTCAACATCCGCCCCTGCCGCAATGAGCTGAGTCATTGCGTTGACGTCACCGTCCCAGGCTGCAGACAGAAGTTCCTGAAACACAATCACAACGACTCCCATGGGATGTCCCTAAATTGGTTCCTTCAGGACCCTGATTCACAGCAGTCGAAATTGAAACTAACCCGCCAGCCCGGACCCGAGAATGCCAAAAAAGTTGATTACCACATGAGACTTAGAGGAACAGCAACTCCATAAATTGAGCTGCGCCAACATGATGGACGGCCAGGGTGGTCTGTCCATTATGGAGTTATCCTACACAACAGCTACTGCCAGCCTGCATTTGTCAAAATACACGGACGACCTGTTGGCTGCTCTTCAACGACTCCAAAATGCGACGCAAGTACTGACTTGTTGAGAGCCACCGCCGCATCACTGCAACCCTGTCCAATGAACTACGTAGTTCAGGTATACCTGGTTTGTGGACTCCGGGCCTGAATCTCCGAGTTCCAGGAGCCGTCGTTGCCCCCGCGATCCAAGCCCATGCCCCAGCAGGTCTGCTTCAGCAATCAGTTAAGAATCAACAATTAGTGCTGCCAGCGGTCTGGAAATGAACCGCGCCCCTGACTTTCCATCTCACAGAACCGCGCGTCGCCAATTTGCACGCTACGTATTTGGGCACATATATTTTGGTATAAATTTGGACTCTGCATCATCACGCGACATATGCAACATAAGCGAGGATTGACACCAAGCATCGAATCACGGCACCCATTGGCCCGCGAGCTTCTGTTGCGCTGCTTTCCTAGGACTTTTCTTTTGCCGAAAAACAGCATGTTCAACATTGAACATTCTTAACGGATGCGCATGCTACCGTGAGCCCCCCTGTTTTAATGTCGCTGAAAACAAGTAGTCGGAGTTAGGAGTAACCTAAACTCCAAAACCTAAAGCTAAAACCCAAAAAAAGATAAAAAGCAAAACAGCCCTAAAAACCTAAACCCCGGAGGCAAAAAATTATTCCCCGTTCTCGTTTGCTGAATTTCAGTTCTTGTTATCCACGCACCGGGACTGGCCTTGGAACAAGAACCGAAATTCAGCAAACAAGAACGGGGAGTAATATATTCTCAACCCCGGACAGCCACGTCACTTCCACGTCATTTTTCACGACATTTTCACTGGGAGGTACTGTGAGCGAAGTGCAGAACGGCGTCAGCCTGTCAGCTTCCCCATATCCGCCTGACCCCCTGGTGCCGATTCCACAGAGCGCTACGGCCATGGCACGTCTCGGGACAGGGTGTCCTGCTGCCCCTCTTCCCCTCCGCTTCCCTAGCGAGGCACGGCGTGGCGAGGCGCATCAGAAGCGACCGGCCCCCTCAGGCAACTTGAGGCTGCGCCGCAGGGCGGCCTCGCTGCGCACGCGTGGTCCGGCTGAAGCCCGCGCTCCGCGAGTCGTGCCGAGTCGTTGGGGCACCCGCCAAGTAGCTTGTTGGGCGGCGGGGGCTTTCGATGCACGTATGGAACTCACCGACGTGCTCTACTGCCAGGGGCGAACCCCCAACTCCCAGGCGATTGACCCCCACCCTCCCCACCCACCCTCTCACTTCTACTCCCCATTGCTGCCGCGTACCAAGGCCTGTTGCTCTCCGTCGCCCTCGCTTCAAAGTGCACAGCCCGGTCGCGGACCGCCGGGCCCCCTTGCACAAGCGGGCCACTGCAGCTTTACAAAGTTGGCAGACTTCCGCGGAGCCAAAGATTCCTTTGCCATCCCTCACCTCCACGCCATGGATCCCGCAAGGAAGCGGTGGTCGGGGCTTCCCAACAGCAAAGGATGTGGAGCAGGAGAGCCGCGGCGGCAGCGGGGCGGAGGGGCGAGCACCGTCGCGGCTCGCAGCCGGCTGCCCAAGGGGAAGGCACCATTGAAGATGGGATCGCCCCAGACCGCGTCGCGGACCTGCAGCGCGGGTAGAGCGCCGAGGCCACGGGGATGAATGACTATGTGAGCCGCAATCCCAGCCGCAACACGCGACGTCTTGGAGTGATGACACAGATTGGTGTGCCCCCCCCCCCCAGTTGGTTCAGGACGTCACGAGACATCAGCCTTTCCAGCGACCGACAGCGACCTCGCTCAACTTGACAGTAACGAACGCCACAAGGAACAATGGGGGAACTTCGCGATGAAAGAGAGTTTGTTCTTTTGAACGCCAAAAGGAACAGTGGAGGAACTTCGCGATGAAAAAGAGTTTGTTCTTTTGAACGGGACCTGTTAGATGCGACATGTGAAAGGACTTCCGGAGCTGTTTTTAATGTGACACACCCCCGTTCGCCCTCCTCCCACCGTTCACGTCCTTGGTCCTCTCGCGTGCACGCAGTCCCGCCAGTGGTCCTCGACCGCTGGAATAGGCGCCAAGTGGTCTCCAGAGAGGGGAGCCCCAAGAATTTGGTTTGTGATGCGGTCGGATTGGGTGTCCTGCGTGACAGGCATTTGGATAGCCAGGATCAGCAGCCACATACCCCACGATTGCATGGACGATATTGGCCGACGTGACGGCCGCGTGCCTTTGGGGGGAAGAGGGGCGCGCCGGTAGGACGCTACCGCCACACTCTCGCACTCTGCGCTTTCGAAGCGTTTGGGGGGTGATGAAAAGAGGGGGCAGGGCGGCGCGAATGGTCAATGGATGTGCGGCATTTGAGGACAGTGGGGCGCCCCATCGACACCGCGCCGCGCAGACTCGCCCACTCGCTAGCGTCGGACTTTTGGAAGGGATGCTGGGCAGACAATGCGCGCGGGGTGGACGAAAGACTGGGGGCCTTGCAGCCGCCAAAAGCTGGGAATTTATGCGGCGCAGGCGGATTGTTGCGCGTCCGTTGTCCTCGCTCAGGATGGGCTCCCAGCCAGCCGTGGTTTTAAGGGAAGGGCGCTGGACGGAACGGCAGCTCATCGGCTGCAGTGCTGCAATGCCGACGGGGGCGCGCCGCCCCCACCCCACCACCAACCTTAGTTGCTTCCGCAACCTTCTGCCCAAAACTTTGTGCGCTTTGATCAACCAGGGATCTGCGGTCGTCGCCGACTAGCGCATTGCGCAAGAACGGTTAGTGGGTGAATGGGCAGGGATAGGCCATGGGCGCGTCGGCCCGTCTACAACTGCTTCGCTCCTTGGGCAAAACGGGGTCGGGGCGTTGGGGCCGCTGGCAAGTCGACCCATCGCCAACTCGTGGGTGCTATTGTTATCGCGATGCGCGGTTCGCTAGGCGGTCGATCAACAGGCCCAAAACCCGTCTCCGGCTTGCCACAGTCCCCTGAGCGTGCAACCCCGCCTTTGGGAGTGGCCGCGCTACCAATTCTGCCTTGCTTGCTTGGGGCTGGCGCGCAGAAGCGTGCTCGGTCGTCGTTTAGCTTTCACATTTGGCGACATTGCTGCATGAGGCCAGCTAACTATTTTGCCCAAGCAAAGCAGTGTCTACGATCAGTTCATTGAAATCTAATGTTTAGCACAAACAAAGTCCATGAATCTGTCAGCTCTTATTGCCAAGAAGACATTTTCGGCAATAATACATCACAAAGAAATGTCCTCGCCAGTTGGCGAGTGGGCATCACAGCAAAAAAATGTTTCAGCACTGTGATGTCGTAAAAGACTTGAATGGCGTCGACGAATGTTGTCATAGGCACGGCAGTGGAAGAGAAAATGTGTTTCTTATTCTGGCGGCAAGTGACATAAATGACACAATCGCATTGAAATTCTGGAGTAGATTGTGTAACAAGTTCGCAGGTGAAGTCTCACTGCGTCCTCACCATTTAACAACATGTTCCCAAATCTATTTCAGCAAAACACAAGCCCGCGCTGGAGTGATCCAACACACGTTTGCATGTTTTGCAGCAGATTCGACACGTTTTTTAACAGCCGATAACTGCAATGCACTCAGGATGCAGCACTGACGCATTGTTGCTGCTCCAACGACACCACCTTTGCAGAGAATGCTAAATTGCTTTACGGCACACACGTATGAAAGTACTTACAAATCCCCTAGCCTACCGTCCTCAGAAATACACTGATCTGTATTTTTTGCTGATCCATCATTTCATTTTTCCACCACAACTGATATAATGTTTTCTCATCCCTGCTTTCTTCCATGCACACTATGGGAAATTTTTTGTCCCTAGGTTTATGATTTTACCTATAACGCACCGGAAATGAGTCCTGGCCTGCGTGTCCGCGGGGCGACATAGAAGGCGCGCAAATTCCAGCGCGGTGGAGCAAGGGAGGTCGGTTGGCTCGGATCCCCAGGGAGAAAGAGGTTGGGCTGGCGAGGAATGAAGAGCTCGGCCTGCGCCATTGCCCAGTCCGGCGCGAGCACCACCGCCTCTGCCCGCGGCCTCGAGTCGAGGAAGGCGACAAGCTTCGCAAGGAGGCTCCACGGGGGATTGCACCGACTGCGCGTCCCTGTCGAGTTCTGTGCGAAGGCGTCAATGCTGGACGTACCCACATCCCAATGTTGACTGTTGTAGGCCTCGCAGAGGGCATTCCAAGTGGACGCAAAGCGGTCCACTGAACAAGCCTCGAAGTGGCTAACGACCTCCTGGAATATGCGTGGATTCAGCCAGTAATCCTCGGAAGTCCGTATACACGAAAGCCTATCCGGGAGGACATTGTCGGCCGACCGAATGTACTCGGGTTCCAGTAGCAGCTTCCGCGTTGCACAAATAGCTTGCAACTAACAAAGGGGCCTCAAGAGACCTGAGCCATGCCGTATTTGAGTCAATGTGGCATGTGCGATGGATCAGGTGTGCGGGCTGGGTGGGGTGCAGGCATTTCACCTCTATTTCGAAAGCACTTCTTTTGTCCCATACTGTATGACCTATATGAAATTGGGGCGATAGTTCGTTCTCACAGGAATTTTCTTTTCAATGAAACTTTTTCCAAAGATGTGCCCATGGCTTGATAATATACGGCCACAAAATCAAGATGATCCGTTAAGTCTCTCGAATTCGGCGACATTCTGCTTGCAAGGGCCCTTTAACTTAGTAGGGTGCCTACTGGCACTCTCCCCACGTGTGTTTT